GATGCAGAAGTAACAGAAGATTCGGAATTAGAATACAAATTAAAATCCTCGGAGCTGTCTTTAAATGAAACAGATGAATTCTTGGATGTTCCAACTTTAGATGCAGAAGTAACAGAAGATTCTGAATTAGAATACAAATTAAAATCCTCGGAGCTGTCTTTAAATGAAACAGATGAATTCTTGGATGTTCCAACTTTAGATACTGAAGTAACAGAAGATTCCGAACTATAATCTTTAGCCGATAATGGTTGGATAAGTTCTTCAGAACTGTCTGCCGTAGGTGAATAAATGCCAATATCTTCAAAACAAATCACTTTAATTCCCGATGATTTATTAACCACATTCTCCTGTTCCCATGCATATTTTTTTACATACATTACCGATTTACTTCGTTTTCGGTTGAGCAGTTTCTTAAATGTATTTACTTGTGTAGGTTCACATTTTTGTTTTTTACTTGGTGGAGGTGACGGATTTCTTTGATCCATGTATAAATATTATTTACCTTGTATACACTATGATAAAAATATGATAAAATTAATTTGATTTTTAGTTTGTGTCATATGAGTAAAATAAATTTTCATCGAATAAAAAATGATATCTTTAACTGGTGGAGGCCATTATCAAATAACTTTTTATTTATTTATTTTGACTATATTTTTGAATAAAATTTTTGTTTATCATGCTGATGCGAATTTCATTATGATGATATCCATAGATAAAGATATTCATGAATAGGTTACAAATCTTTTTAAAATTTAATGATGACCAAGACCTACTTTCATTGACTCATTATCAGTTTCAAAAAAATAATTAGACTGATTGCAAAAGAACATAGAAAGGGAAAGAAGTCCAGCTTTTTGAATACATAACTGACGCGTTGAGCTGCTCGGTTCGGATTGCTATCCCAGAAAAACAACTTACTGGGTGAGCAACAAGCTCAGATTTAGTACAGCATGATATGTACTAAGATGCAGCGCATACGCATAAGAAGCAAAAGACAAGGTGACAGTCGGGATGTACATACGTCACCTGTGAACCGGTTGTAAGTCAACTCTACAAGTATGGTCGTGTACGCTGCCTCCCGCCATTTTATTCTTCCTTTTTAGGCCAAAATGTGTCAGTAGATTTAATCAACATGGATGATATAACGTATTCTCAATTAAATATCTTAATTAATAGTACAGTATACTGTTTATCAATAGTGTAAAAATCTAGAATAAGCGAAAAATAAATTAAAATATACAACTTTTCCTCTCTCCCCCCCCCAACCCCAATAGTGGTTGGGAGGTAAGAAGAGTGCAAACCCGTTTTCAAGACTTCTACTGCTGTGTCCCTAAATGTTGTGTTTTCCTTTATACATCTCACCAAACCTTGGAGGACTGGTTTACATTATGTCAATGGAAGATAGCCTTCTTCCGCTATGTATATTCTTTACTGATATCAAAAATATGAAGAAAAAAAATTGATGGGTATATAAATTTTTCAAATGTTTTGGTATCTTTGTTGATTTTGAAGAGTGGAGACATCTCCAATTTCTTCAATTTTTGCATCAGTCGAGAGAAGTTTACGAACGATTTGCAACTAATGGAATAAAGAAAACAGTAAGTAGGCAATGAGCACCAAATCTTATCATCCATTAAATTTAATTCGATCTTTTATAATCAATTGTAATTTCGACATTTTACAAACGGCTGCTGGTTTAAACTTTTTTGGTGTCGATTGTTGGCACAACTATTTAAAACAATAAAAGTTGTTCAAGTTACGATCGTGTTTATTCTTGTTCGAGAATAACACAACTGAATTAACTTTCTCGTCTCATTACAATCTCTCAAATTCGTGGCGAGTTTAAACATTAGCAAGCCCCTTTCAAGATCTTCCAAATCTTTTTGTTTTGCGAGGAAAAAAATTATATTTTTTTCTATCACTTCACGCAGAATAAATAAGGCCGGGATAGCCTGATTGGTAGGGCACTGAGTCCATGTCCAAGAGTTTGATCCCCGCCGGCTGAAGACTCCCAGTGTAGTAAATGGTGACTGATGCACGTTAAATCTGCCAAGTCGCAAAATCTTCCATGTTCCCATAACAAATCAATACCTCTGGGAGTACTGATCCAGGAGTTTCCTTGTCTTATGGATCAGTTCAGAAAATTACAAGGCTCCGGAGTTGAACATAAGTAGTCGCAAACCCAAAATTGAGTCGGCTGTTCAACGACGGATATAATACAAAATAAATAGAGAAAATCTAATAGAGTTAATAACTTTAAAAAAAATTTAATTTAAAATCCAATCTTTTTCCACGTGAAAGCTCATTATTCTGTTTTACATAATACGTGTCTGAGCTGAGTGATTTGTAGTTGTGATAACGTTTACAACTAAATGCTCCAACTTTTGAGTTTATTTGGTTGAGGTCAATTAATAGGTTTTTACAAATGCTAGACGAATTAACAGATTTAAATAATTGGAGGTAATCTCTAACAGATCCAATGAACAAAGATACCCAATGTACCGTAAACTCGCTTGTATACTCTCCTGATGTTATTATTACTGTGTTTAAATCAAATAAAATACATTCTATTTTATACAGTTGCTATCTTGCAACGTTTTAGAGTCGATGCTTTATAAAGACTCTTCAAAATATAAAAATAATTTATCGGAACAGGAATGGTACAACCATAAAATAGTAATTTGATTTTAGTTTTGAGTAACGTATTTCCCAATCACAGCTGCGTAATGTTACCTTGAGTGAAGATTTTATGGTCTATCACATGTTGATGAGTCAGTTATAGCTTGAAACCTTCGAACAGTTTTATGACAACTAAGTGAAGCACCTGCAAATTAAGCAAACATCGCGCTGCACGATGATATCTTGTGGAAAGTGCTGAACATTGATTGGTGTTCTTAGCTTTATTTATCCACGTACTAGTTCGTAGAGGGCATTCTATTGCACGATTTTTTATTACGCAACCAGGAAAAAAAAGTTTAATACGAAGAAAAACTTTCTCGAGCATTGTCGATTAAACACAGCAACAAAACAGTAAAGGTTAAAAATGTGGTTGATTATTTACAACAAAATACTCCTGCATTTTGAACTAGGTATTCTAAATTTAAAAAAAATTTGAAATAAAAATTTCGAAATGAACTTCAATTGGAATTTGTAAAAAAGGTTGCAAAGTATTTAAAAAAATGTTATATGAAATGAGTTGATGTAATTCATATGCCTTGTACAAGTTTAACAAGTTCAGATTATACAAGTTTAACAATTGTTGCAGAATGATTCAGTGGCGAATGGGTGCATTAATAAAGAAACCATATTTAATAACAAACAAATTTAATAAACAAAATAAATAATATGATACGAAATGGGGCTCGCCAATGAGCCATCCAGTTCAATCCATTGCCTGCCACATAAGTTATACAGAATTATTGTAAGTGATTACAACGCCCTCTTCTGGTCAGGCAGAGATTCGTAACATTAATATTTTCGAAATTATTACGCACGTTATAATAAATGATAGAGGAAATAAAAGAAAAATATACCAAGTTTGCGACAGCTAAAAATTGTTAAATGTTTAGCCTTTTTGTTAGACAACAAGAATCTAAATTAATCCCACACATTTTATAACTTCACACCACCAATGGCTCCCAAAGCTACACAAACGCGCTTTTAAAGCTCTTGCAGTATTTTCAGCAACAGCGGTTCCTAAAACTACGCGTTTGACGTAGCTCATTAAATGAAATCACCTGGTGTAAGGTCCGATAATCTTCGTTGCCACGTGATTAAGGATAAAATTACGAATCATTGCCATTCCTAAACAACAAAATGTATGGAAAACTTGATTAGGGTTTAGTTGTTCGCCACGTGACAAAAGGATCGAGCATCGGACATTTGTAAATAGCATATTTTCCGTTAATTTAGTGTTCCGCTTATTGTAATAAGTGAGGCAATTTTGAAAAAATTAATATTTAAAATCCGGTCATTCATTTGTGTTAATTCTGTATTTGGTAATCTCACAATGAGCTAGCTGATCGTAAGACAGGATTCCCTGTAGATCATCGAAGTCAAGCATCATTGGCAGTGGTTAATATGTGGGGGACTCTCATATCAGCCTGCGAAAGGACGGAGGGTACACGATATCGATCCTTGTTAAACTGTTCTACCGTAAAGTGCTCGACATTGCTCGCAAGTCGTCGGGCTACCATGCTACCAAAGCAGGGGGGATAGAACTTTATCCTCTGCAGAGGGTGAAAATTGTGATGGCATATCTTCAGCTCATCCTCAAGTATGTTTCTTGGTACCCATTTGCCAATAGCCTATAATGAAACTCTATTGTGACGTAAATAAAGAACTACTCTCGTTCCTGTATTTGGTAAGAGACCAGACAAAGCTTTCACGAGCTCCAGATTAAAGTATTTCAGAGTCCCTATGCTTTGTATATATAACACTATTAGTATAATACTATTGGCAAAAATTTGCTAATGGTATCTTATTTTTTACTATTCTGTTCTTGGTTTGAGATATCGACACAGCCTCACTTCGTCACTTCTTTTCTCTCAATGTTAGTCGGAAATAAAAGTCTTATATGTATGTGTGTGGTAGAGAAAACATTGTAAGGTAATCGTAATCAAATGATAGCTTTGTACATGTGATAGTTAAAAAAATATAAAAAAATTTTGAAAAGGAAAGTAAGCTAAAAAAAGAAAAAAAAAGAACTTAAAATAGAGAAGGATTGGAATCGCGTTTGTGTCGAAATTCGTAGCGGACAAACTCTGAATTACACTTTACTAGTCAAGAAGAAGGATTTACCTTATTGGCGTGCTGTTATTCACTGCGTCTGGGTAAATAAGTTCATTTTACTATGTCAACTAATACGTTTTACTACGTTTATTTGTTTTTAAGATAGCCTTATTTATTGGTCATTACTAGAGCCCGGATTTTGATGACCTAAAAAATCCCAATTAATGTCCTTAAAAAGTGCAAAAATGCCCTTAAAAGGTGCAAAAAATGCCCTTAAAAGGTGCAAAAAATGCCCTTAAAAAACGAAAAATGATCTTAAAAAGTGCGAAAAATGCCCTTAAAAATGCGAAAATTGCGCTGAAAATGCCTTATGACATGACTTAAATAAAGTAAAAATATTGAACTAAAACAATATTTTACTCTTTAAAATTATTATGAGTCATTTCAAAGAATATAAGGAAATGCAATACTTGTTCTACGTTCATTAAAGTTTGAAAAATATGTTTTATATCCTAAAATAACAAAAAAAAGGAAAATATATTGACTCCAAAACATTTTCATTTTGTATAGAAACTTTAATGAATACAACAACTTCCATCTAATAATATTACTAAATATCAAAATTACATTGGATTATAAAATTTTTTTGTTGATATTTTGAAATGTAAACGAGTGTCTCATGTCTGAAAGTAAATTTTTATACCTGGAGAAACTTCTTTCAACGTCTACTGATGTTATTGGTGAGTACTTGAAAAAGACGGTCTCACTTACTGACAATTCTTCTTCAATTTGAAAAGATGCTGCTTCACCTGTTAATATCCTAGAGATTTTCTTCACTGTTTGGAAGCCTGTGTAATAATAAAAAATGATAAAAAAAATAATAAAAATTGGAAAAAGATAACAAAAAATTTAAAAAATGTTTTAAAATGCAAACTAAGCCAAAAAATTTAATGAAAAATGCCCTATGAATCTAAAAAAATGCTCTAAAAGACAAAAAATGCCCAAAAATGCAAATATCATCAAAATCCGGGCCTTAGTCATTACGGTTACGAAAAATTTTTTAGTCCACTTTATTATAAGTTTTTTTAAAGATTCATACCTTAACAAACCGTAAGGATTTTTTCCAATAGTAGAATTGTTGTGTAACGTTTTGATAACCTCTCCTCTCGTGGGGAAAAATAGGTACTATTCGATTTTGCCCCTACCCATTGATGTGAGACTATGCTGGGCCGAAGAAAGCTGAAGTGCAGCGGCGGAAAAAGTTTCACATCTAAATTAAGTGTTTAATTTTCTTAAATTGTCACAAATCAATTTCTTCGAATGTTCCTAATTATTATTACTTTTTCAATGGCGGGCACTTGGGGTTTGTTCTATTGGCCACAGAAACGCCAGAACTGCTACTCTCTTCTCGTTACCCAGTGGGCACCTGTGGCGAAGCCACGGCGGTGGAGCAGCGTCGCCCACGTCACACAACCAGAAACCCGTTTATAGGGCGGGTCACATTCACACAAAGGAGAAAGGACCTAGAACACAGAGAGAGAAAGAAATATCCATGCCCTGAGCAGGATTCGAACCCGCGGCCAATGGCTCCGCAGTCAGACACGCTAACCACTCGGCCACCTGGTCGGCTGTTCCTAATTAATAAATTGTCAGAATAGGAGTGCCTGCTACTTTTTCACTGGCCGAAGAGTAAAGTGACTGATACACGCTAAATCTGTCGAGTCGCGAAAGTCCTCCATGTTCCCATAACAAATCAATACCTCTGGGGGTACTGGATTGGAGATCGATCATTCTCTGATTCAGGTCAAAATTACGATCTGTGGATGAATGAATGGGTACGCCCTATAAACGGGTGCGACGCATGATGTGGCAGAAGCCGAATTCTTGGCCATAGATAGCACCACTGAAAAACAAGAAACGCACTCTCTGCCTTAAATTTGCTCGGTTTCACCAAGCAGGCTTGCCCATGTGGCAAATGGCATTAGAATCAACCAACTTTTTCACTGAAATTCTAGTAGCATTCCCATCGAGTTAACATGTGCAGATATCGGGTGATCTGACTTTTCCAATATATATATTACTACTACTCAACTATTCTATAATAGTCAGATTGAATTATGATAATCAGTGAGTACTTCTCGTGATAGCAAGATAGTACCGCTTGTTTGGGTGAACAGTCTATCAACGTTATGGTAAGTATCTCATACAAATTACATCTTTGAGGCAGATTTCTTGTGAAAGACATACAAATAGCAGCTTGAACTTATGGATTTAACCTTAGAAAATGGTTTTATATATTTCTGGACATATAACACGTGTGTGGTAGCATGAGAAATGGTCAATTTTTCTGGTTATTACGCCTCGTCATCATATTTTCTAAGCTAATTAATCTTGTTCTTTCCCTGGGCGTTTTGAGTAAATTATTATTGGATAACGTATGGTTTAAAATTGATTTACTTACTATATTTCCTTAACATTTTCCTTAACATTTCATAAGCGTTTTCCCGATGAATTTATGTTCTCAGATTTTCCACTGAACTTGTCAATTCTTTAATCTGAAGAAAAATGTCACATATGTAGAAATAAAAAAACAGTGTTTTGAGTCGAGTTACATTTTCAAAAAGTATTTACCAAAAGAGAAACAATTAATTAAATAAAAAGTTCCAAAGAAACTCGATTAATGACGATGAAGGGATTACAAAATCGGTTACTGTTACACTCTCCAATAGAATAAAAAAATCTTTTCAACTCGTCTATTATTTTGTTTCATAGACGGCGTTGAACAGCCGGCACAATTCTGAGTTAACGATTACCAATGTTCACCTCTGTCGGCTTGTAATTTTGAATCCAATCCAGAAGACAAAGGAACTCCTGGATCAAGTAATGGGAGAAATTTTACCTTCGTGAAGGACTTATTGATGGAACTACCCCTCATTGGAGGCGAACGCTCTACCTCCTGAGCTCGTCTACTGGACAACTATATCTTTTAAAGACATCTATTATCAGCAAAAAATGTAATAAAAGTAGTTTTCTTCAAACAGACAAATTTCGTGCTGTGATCTCGATCACTATACCATTCTGTAGAGACAAAAGATAATTCTTTGAGCAAATTTGCAAGCGTCCTTGACATGAGGTACAATAAATTAACAACAATTGAAAAGGGAAAAAATAAATAAATATATAAATAAAATAAGTATAGAAAAACTCTTGCAATGGGTGCGTGGAACGAAGTTGAAAAGGAATGTTTCTGCCTGAAGCCAATTTGTCTGTTAGGCAACTTTTTGTATCAGCCCAAGAAAGAAAACTCATGGCGTGAGATGAATAAGTAATTGGCTAATAAGCCGATGGGCATATACTAAATATCGGTTGAAATATGTTCTGTAGGCTGTGAGTTTGGAAATTATTCAAGTACAAGTTCTGACAGATTACTTAAGACGCGTTACTTGTCTGAAAATGCATTTTGGGGACTTGTTTTATTTGAAAATGATGTTCTGTCATAAACTATAACATTTACATGCATATACGATAACGCATAAGCAATAATTACTTCTGTAAAAATATTTTTACAGAAATAATTATTGCTATTAGTAGTAGTTATTTTTACAGAATTTTTTATTGAAGTATGTAAGAATATTTTTACAGAAGTAATTATTGCTATTAGTAGTAGTTATTTTTACAGAATTTTTTATTGAAGTATGTAAAAATATTTTTACAGAAGTAATTATTGCTATCAGTAGTAGTTATTTTTACAGAATTTTTTATTGAGGTATGTAAAAATATTTCTACAGAAGTAATTATTGCTATTAGTAGTAGTTATTTTTACAGAATTTTTTATTGAAGTAGTTGAAAATATTTTTACAGAAGTAATTATTGCTTATACGTTATCGTATATGCATGTAAATGTTACAGAGTATGACAGAACAGCATCTTTAAATAAAACAAGTCCCCAATTGCATTTTCAGACAAGCAACGCGTCTTAAATAATCTGTCAGAACTTGTACATGATTCATCTTTAGTCTTTTCTTTAGTCGTGAATCATCGTTAGTTTAGATTCATCTTCATCGTTACTCCATAGTCTTTTCTTCTCTAGCAGTATAGTTTTATGGGACTAAGTATAAATTCATTTAATAATATAAACGCTTCATACAAATGCAAAAGAATATCCGCTGGTAGTGATGAGGACGATGCATATTCAGGATGTCTCACAAAGATAACATTGAAACATCAAACATTAGTCATATTTAGCATTTTCACGAAGCATCCCACATGTTCATGTGCGTAAGTTCTGTGTACTGAGTTTAAATCCGAATACAGTTTGGATTTTAACCAAGCCTTTGCAGTACAACTTCTTACATCCGTCGTTGAACAGCCCACCCAATTTTGAGTTTACGACTACAAAGGTCCAACTCCGTAGCCTTGTAGTTTTGAACCAATCCAGAAGACAAGGAACCTTCTGGATCAGTACCCCGAGAGGTATTGATTTGTTAAGGGAACATAGAGGAATTTGCGACTCGACAGATTTAACGTGCATCTGTCACCATTTACAACACGGGGAATTTTCGGCCGATGGGGCTCGAACCCACGAACTCTTGGACATGGGCTCAGTGCCCTACCAACCAGGCTATCCCGGCTTTTGCAGTACAACTTAGGAGTTACCAACGACAGCCGGTAAAAGTCCGAAACAAGGGATTAAAATCGACTTTAAATAAGTCCGTCGCCACACTTTTCTGTTCCTGCCAGTTTCCAGGGGCTTTCGAATAAATAATTTGCCCATTGTGCAGCTCTAGTGCGACGTAAATTAACAACGACAACAATCGAATAAATAACTGTGAGACAATAAAATTAGGTAAATAATTGTGGGAAAATTACTATAGTTTTAAAGAAAAAATGTTCTGTGTTAAACTTCAAGAACTTATTTAATCAATTTATGCATCATTGCAAGGTAGATGTTATTTTTAAGAAAACAATTACTCATCCTGTCCTTTAAACAGTTCATTTTCTGCTATATATTCAGAGGCAAGTGGATTACCTTTTATCATCAGAAATTTTTCGTTACGGAATTCACTGAAGTGTAAATTTTTTCATTTGTGATTTCCTATTACCTTTTTTTTTTGGTCTTCTTCCTGACTTTCACCTCTCACGAAGCATCAACAATGGCAGAAGAAAAGAAAGAAAAAAATCATCTCACCCTGAAAAAGATAGTGACGTCGCTTTCGATTCAACCGACGTACACTTTACTTCAGTCGTCCGATTCGGTCGAGCTGATTTTCAGCTCGAATGGTTGTCATTGCCTGTTTATTGTTGTAACTGTTACTGAATTGGTGATCACGTTTTCAAACAATTCAGTTCCACGCTAGTAAATTTTACGTTCATTTTTTCCCCACCTCTTCTCATAAATTTCATGCTTTTTTATATAACAGTAAAATATTGATCACATTTCATGTTCTATAATTTCCGGATTGGAGAAATGTAAATAATGTGCACATTTTCTAATTATTCTAGAGAGGTTTTTAGTGGGGTAAAAAACACGATTTCCAAAAATCAAGTAAGATGTATACATATAGAATGCGCTATTGATAATTCCGGAAGCTTGTTTAAATTTTACGTTAGTTTTTTCCACCTCTGCTCATAAATTTCATCTGTTTTATGTAACAGTAATATATTGATCATATATCATGATATATTATTTTTGGATTGGATCAAGGAAATAATGAGTCACATTTTCTAATTTTTCTTGAGAGGTATTTAGTAGGAAAAAAACACGATTTCCAAAAATTCAATAAGATGCATCGAAGAAATAGATCCAATATATGCATAGAATGTTCCACAAATTTGTTAAGTACTTATCTTAAAACTAGTACGCAACAATTCAAGGTTAAAATGTCACTTGTTGAAAAAGAGTGGTTTTGTCACTTTATTGCCCCGATTTCTTTAATTTAATGAATTTTGTGGCTTAACAACAAACATTTTAAAATAAATTTCCCCCTTCTTTTAACCCTTTGATTGGGGACTAGGAACCTTTGTGCATTTCTGCTAAGGGCAATTAGTTACATACATAAGCAAAGACTATTCCGACATTTCCGTATCACCCACATCAAAGTTACAATTATTTACCAAAACCAATTTTATTTAGCCCATCGTGTATTTTGCTGTATAGTTCGATTATCCTACAATATCGACTTACAATATTTACTTTAGAGAATAAAGAATGCAAGGTGTATAATTTATTCATTTCTCCTGTTGGTCAACACATTTTGTGCATAAAACCAAATTCTTATATTACTCACAATCAAGCTCAATAACACTTATTAATTTTTTTTTTTATAACCGGTATTGCACAGTAGTTGCCAACCCAATTCTGAGTTAACGGCAATCAAGGTTCAACCCCATAGCCTTCTGATTTTGAATCCAATCCAAAACACAAGGGAACTCCTGCATTAAGTGTTGGGCCATGAATCTAGCCATCGTGGAGGACTTATGGATGAAGATTAACAGCATTTGCATTAAATAGAGAGGAAAACCACAAGGTGCAAGGTCAGCACTGTAGTGGGTTCGAGCCGGGAGTCAACTTCGAATCTACCAGGCAGCGTTAGGATTCGAATCTTGGTCCCTGCAGAGGGGAGCGAGCTCATTGCTCTATCCCCTGAACCATCGCGACTCATTAAGGAGAGTTTTATTTTATTTTATTTTATTTTATAATCATCGTTGAACAGCTGACCCATTCTCTTGCGGCTTTTAAGTTTTTTTTCCTGTCTATTTCATTTCTGTAACATTAAGTGTGGTAAATGTATAGTGTATTCTTATTCTAATATTTTATATTATTATAAAGCTTTACTTACTTTACTCCTTACCTTGCTTTACTTCATACGATAGATACTCTACGATATGTTTTACTTTTAAAGAATGATATTGTCAGAAGGTAAACAAACAACTCTGTATCATCATCATTTAAAGCAAAGTAAATCATACGATACTGAATTTATTATGCTTCATTTATATTAAGCGATATCGCAGGATTGAAGATCCCAAGTACAACTTCTCAAAAAAAAAATTTTTTTTTTACAATAAATATGATCATTAAAGCATTATTTATGAAACTAGAATAATACGAGCACAATACATCGGTTTAACCTTCTCAATAAATTTTGCATAACCAGTTTTATTTTTAAAAGAAAATTATGTAACCGATTTGCAGTCGATACTCAAGCCCAGCACGTCTCATGATCATCTTCTACTGTACCCCCTTCTCTTTCGACATCAACAAAATAGAATCATTAATTCTTTTTCTTATTTTGCAATTACTATCACCGACGCACCTTACAAAGAAGTTGTCAGACCGGAATTCATAGCTGAGTCACTCGCCTTCGATGGAATGTTCTATTACACGACATACTTCCAGTTCTATTTTACTTTTATTATTTGTGGCCTTTCTTTCCCGCCTTTCGACCCACTACTACCTATACCAAAGCGTTTACTTGCTGCGACGTCATCGCGTATTCTTTAGTTTTTTGTTTGCAAACGATCACGAAACGCTTCAGCAGCTGTCTGATGTCTCAACTCGATTCTTTTGTCTTTAAAGCACATTTTTTGTTCTTTTATTCATTTTCTTCTTTTTTTTGTTATGTTAGTACTACTTTTAGTGCAAGAAAAAATTTTAATTCTCAAGTCTGGTTAGTGCTCTCGGCTCTTAGGGGTAGGGTCCTCACAAACGTGTGAGAAATGTGGTGATCGAACCGGATTTTCTGGTAACGTCGAGGGCAAGGTCAGAAATGCTTCGATGAATAAGGAAAAAATAATAATAAAATAAAAAGATCATGTGTAAGGTGTAACCGTTTTCGTTTTTGAAAAGACGAGTATTAAATAGTTTCATATAAATTGAACATGAATCAAAATTAGCTTCATAAAATGAATTTGGACTATCTCTCTCTCTGACAATTTTCGAGTAATTTTAAATTCAGTTCTTCACGCTGCCAAATAAATAAATTAATTTTGTTTAATCAAAAATTCTCCGGGATTTTTATATATCTCAGAAATTTCCCAGGTAGAGTTTCCGAAGAAAAAAAAACTACTTTTCCATTTTTTTTCTTCTCTATTGCTTGCTTGAATATTTAAATAAATATTACTAATGAATGTTCACCTATTTACAGTAATAACGTTAAAGTTATTATTTATTTGAAAAAAATGTTTTAAAATTTCCTTAGAATTCGATGTTAATAAATTACTTTAAAAAAAATGCTGTAACTATTGAAAACGAATTAAGTACCTATTACTATTTACAATTATGAATTCAAAACTTTATATATCATAAATCATTTTATATTTAAATCTTGTAATGACATCTGTAAATAGAAAATATTTCATTCAATTCATAGTCATTAGAGAAAAAAAATTTTTGTATGTTTTTTTTTTTTTTTTTTCTTATTGGTAATAAAAATCTGTACAATTCCCTTTATCTAAAATATTTTGAACACTAAGTGATAATTAGTTTGAAATTTATATTTTGAAAAATCTACAAAATTTTTTCTTTTTCGTATTCGCAGCTGTGGTTGTAAATATTGTTTGGTCCAATCTCCCAATTTTTAGTAATTTGAATTGGTACAGCTTTTTTCTTCTTTAACAAGATTGTTAATTTCTCCATCTAGGGCTAAAAATATTCATTGGTTTGATTGAATACAAGATACTCCGCAATCGTCATCCTTAATATATATTTTTTGAGTTCTTGTCAAATAAGAAATCAGATAAACACTATTTACATTAATGGTAGCGAATTGATATTTTAGCTAGGAAAAAATGAAAACGTTCTCATAGTCTGTTTCAAGTCACTAGTAAGGAAGAAGGTATAGTATTAAAACCAGTTTGAGTGCTGGAATTTTTTCTTTAGTTAAAAAAAACGAGCTTTGTTGCTATTAATTTACGTATGAGAAGGGGACAGTAAATATATCGATAATAATTTTTTTTGTGTGGATATTTTGAACCCTTTGTCTCTCATAAAATATCAAAAATTACTATTCACTGAACCCTTTTCCCATTTGTCATATCGTAGTAAGTAATTAGTAAATATACGTAGTACTTTACACTATTATGACTTTTCGCATAAATTTGGATAATTTTTTTTTTTTTTTACCTTCTTTTCTTATGTTGGTAAATACATATTATTGTTTGTTGCTATTTAATGTTTCCATCAATGCCCAACTCTTACTTTCTTATCTTCAAACTTCATCATTATAATTTCATACTATAAATTCAAATTCTTGCAAGATTTCATGTTTTAATATTTTTTTATTCTTGTTTATTTATTTATTTTTTGAAAAATGCACAAAACATTTATGGTATTATTGCTTTTATGCAAAAAATGAATTAAAATATTGGTAATGTAATTTTCTAGTGCTGCCATCTTACTTCATAATGATAAACTTAAAGCTTCCTCCAGCTTCTTAGAGTTATGGGAACACTTCTATTTTATGTAATTGTCAGTTTTGATGTATATGAAATTTAAATAAAGGAAAAAAGATATAAAAAAAGTAAATCTAACCATTAAATATTTTTGGGATAAGCGGATTTGAAAGGTTTAAGCGAAAAAATAGTCGATACTTACTTTTTATAAAATTTTGCAGATGACGACACTGGAGAGTTAGAGATCCACAGAGGAATATAATGAAGTTGTTTGATCGTGGACACAAAAACAATAAATATGCAAAATAATATCTTTTTTTTTCTTATTTTAATCCAAAGGTAGGTCTTTATTTTAGCGTCTTATGTCAAACTTTCGTATTTAGAATTTCATTGTGTGTTTGCAAGTCTTAGAAAATATCTAAAATTTCCAAATAAAAACATCAACTGCTAAATCTTCCGAGTTAATATCTTCAATACGCAATACGTTTTCTCACATAAAATAAAAACAGCATTTAAGAAAGTTTATATTATAACCGTCATTGAACAGCCAACCCAATTCTAAGTTGACGACTACCAATGTTCAACTCCGTTCCGTAGCCTTATAATTTTGAACTCATTCCAGAAGACAAGGAACTCAAAGATCTAGTTTTGAGAGTAATTTGCCTTTGCGAAGGACTTTTTTTCGGAACTAACCCGCATTTGCTTAACATGGAAAGGAGAAAACCTCCCTTGGTTAGCCTGACGGCAAGGGGACCCTTACCCATGATCCGTCTACCACTGAGGATATTTTACGTCAGCTCTCTGTAATCGGTGCGAAATTCGTATCGATATAATCGTATTCGTACAGCCATCACTGGAATTCAAACCCGGTTTACCTCATTGGGAGGCGAGCACTCTATTCCCTGAGCTACCACGACTCAAGGTAGTAATTTGATGAAATTATTTTTTATAATAAAAAAATCAAACCCACCGCTGTTTTTGATGTTTCCCTTGACGTTACATTTTGTTTTGCTGCAGAAGCTTATAAACTGGAAAATATGAAAAGGTGCAATGGAAAATGTAAAGAAAGTACGATGGATTAAAAAAAAATTTAACATTCGGTTATTAGTTGAAAAATTCTTAGGAGGATGCTATTCCGCAAGAGAAATTTTTCATGGAAAATCATATTTCAGCTCCAGAGGAATTTGAAAGTTAAGAGTAAACAATGGATGTAAGCCAAAGTAAACAATGAAGTTTCAAATGCTGAAAAAATGGTTTTAAAATGCAATATTGCACGATAACCTCTCCGTTAATTTGTTTACTTCTTGATATTTGAAGAAAAAAAAAATCAGCTATTGAATTTTGCAAACGAAATGCAAACAAATTATTGCAGGATAACCTCCCCACTGAGTAATCCTACCATAATTTCTTTTTTTTTTTTGCCTTTTGATATTTGGAACAAAACAAAAAAATCAGCATTTGAATTTTAATGGTTTATTTAAGTTTACCAGGACCAAGTTTTTTTCTATACTTTAAATTACTTATGTTTGTCAAAAAGATTTCGTCCGGAAGAGCTTCACCCGCGGTATACATCAGTAAAGAAAGAAAAAGAAAAAAAAAACGTTACCGCTGAACTTTCTAAATATTGTCAAAGACAAGTCAACGAAGATGAGTGTCTGAATACTTGTGTATACAGTTGAATTTTAAATTGCCTGAAAGATGTGACAAACATAATTTTTCTTTAAACCGAAGGCTTTTTTTAATTTCACTTAAAAAATACTCCCCAAAAACGACTTTGTTTCTTTGTCGATAATTGATTTCTTAGTTGAATCAAAAATTACAAAAAAAAGAAGGAAAGAAAAAAAAAAGATGGCTAAAGTTAATACGTCTTGNCAAATATAAACATCAACTGCTAAATCTTCCGAGTTAATATCTTCAATAAGCAATACGTTTTCTCACATAAAATAAAAACAGCATTTAAGAAAGTTTATATTATAACCGTCATTGAACAGCCAACCCAATTCTAAGTTGACGACTACCAATGTTCAACTCCGTAGCCTTATAATTTTGAACTCATTCCAGAAGACAAGGGAACGAGTTTTGGGAGACATTTGCCTTCGTGGAGGACCTTTTGAGGGAACTAACCCGCATTCGCTTTACACGGATATCTGTCTACTGCTGATGATATTTTACGTCAGCTCTGTAATCGGTGCGGAATCCGTATGGATATAATCGTATTCGTATAGCCATCACTGGAATTCAATCCCGGTTCACCTCATTGGAAGGCTAGCGCTCTATCCCCTGAGCTACCACGGCTCAAGGTAGTAATTTGATGAAATTATTTTTTATATTAAAAAAATCAAAAGGTCCACAGCTGTTTTTGATGTTTCCTACGCATACGTTACATTTTGTACAATACACTACGTTACATTTTGTTTTGATGTATAAGCTGAGAAACTTGAAAATATGAAGGTACAATGGAAAATGTAAAGAAAGTAAGATGGAACAAAAAATAAAAAAAGTATTCGGTTATTATATGGAGAACTCTTAAGAGGAGGAGCTTTTCATGGGAAATCCTGTTTCAGCTCCTAAGTTAAGACTAAACAATGATGTTAGAGACATTGAAGTTTCAAATGCTGAAAAAAAATGGTTTCAGGATAACCTCCTCCCCACTGAGTAATTCTGCCATAATTTGTTTGCATTTTGATATTTGAAAAAAAAATTCAGCATTTGAATTTTTCAAAAAAATGCAAACAAATTATTGCAGGATAACCTCCCCACTGAGTAATCTTACCATAATTTGTTTGCCTTTTGATATTTCGGGAAAAAAAATCAGCATTTGAATTTTAATAATTCATTCTAGATTTACTTGAACTCATTTTCTTCTATACTATAAATTACTTAAGTTTGTCAAAGAGAATGTATACATCAGTAATCGTTAACAATAGTTGTTACAAAATACTGCCTGACCTATCTGCAGCCCAGATGGATTAAAATTTGGCGTGTTGAAAGGGCCAAATTTATTTCTATCCTCAATGGTAGTCAAATTGAAAGTTGTAGTTTTGTTTTGGTTTTAAAAAAAACGTTACTACTGAACTTTCCAAATATTGTTGTGGGGGGTGGAGTTACAGACCATGTCAACCTTCATCTATGAAAAGGTACCCCTACATAGAGTCAAGTTAACATGTCTTATATACTAGTGAATTGTAGTGGTAGCGGTGATTTTCAAACATTTCGGAAGATAATGCACTAAGATAACAGACTACGTACATGCCGTAGATCAATACTAACAGTAAGTTTAAATCAGAGATACTAGCAGTAAGTTAAATTAATACATTAATTTAAACATATTAAAGCAACAGTAATTTTGAAATGACCAATCACAAAAAGACAGCAGAATTTCGATAACATACCCTTAAAATATCCATGTGTCCATCCATCCATATCTCCTTGCAATCACAAGTTTGTAAATAAAAAAAAATTTTCAAAAAATAACGCTAAATTTTAAATTTAGTTCTAAAGGAGCAAAAGTTATTAAAAATTTAAGCTGGTCTTCGCATAAATTTAGAAAGATTGCATAGATTCAAAGCCGGGTCACCAGTGAGGGGGGTGGAGTTACAGACCATGTCAACCTTCATCTATGAAAAGGTACCCCTACATAGAGTCAAGTTAACATGTCTTATATACTAGTGAATTGTAGTGGTAGATACGCTACATTGTCAAAGACAAGTCAACGAAGATGAGTTTAACACTTGTGTTTACAGCTGAATTTTAAATTATTCAAAAGACTGTGCGAAATATATATATTTTTAATCCGAAGGCTTTTTTTTTTATTTCACTTGAAACATACTCCGCGAAAACGAGTTTGTTTCGTTGTCGATTATTGATTTCTTAGTTGAATCAAAAATTACAAAAAATAAGATGTCTGAAGTTAATAAGTCTTGAAAAACAGGAATAAATTTTGTTTTTCTATGAAATTCATTTTTCACAACGAGACACAAAAGTGACTACGAAACAAAAGCAATTGAAGGGCTTGATCAGCAAAGTTTAAAAATAATTAACGGCAAAAAAAAAAAATTTCATATATTAAGTCTACGTAGCTCTCACAAATTATTTATGGTTTTATATAGCAACTATCCTTAAAATCAGGTGAAAAAACGTAACATATCATTATTTAGGCAACAAAAGATGGAAACATCAACGTATCATCAAATAAATAGCTGCTGACAAATGCACTTCACGTAAAACAGTGTTTAACCCTTAACAACTAACAAAAAAGATTTGTTGTTTTCAACAAATTGTTTTTCAATAGTTCTACGTGCTCTATAATTTTTAAAAAATGTAATTCTAGAGACTCGTAAGGGAATCAATTAAAAAAGGTTAATCATAAAAGTAAAATGTGTTGAAGATTAGCAGTTCTACCACGTTTCAATGTCATTCACAAGATAATCGACGTAAGAGAAGAGGTGCCTCTTCAACTCGATTTAATCTGAATTATTTTTGCGTGGCGTGCTGGAATGTTAAGAAGCCAATTGAATAATATTTCCTTAGAACAGGTCTAAGATTTCAAGAAAAGATTATTTTTTCAACAATATGTTAAAAAATAGCCCCTAGAGCCTATTTCACCTTTGAGAAGTGAAAATAAAGAATAGAGAGTGCCATTAGGGGCCGAGGCGGGGAAACGGGCATCACCAAAAATCAGATTAATCTGTGGATTCATTCACTTTGTTTTAAAATTGATGAAGTTTGTGATGTTTCTCATGCATTTTTATTATTATTACAATATAAATTAGTTACAGATGTAATTGTGTTTTAAGTGTTACGAAAAGTTTAATAGTTTACATTTGTATTTTGTACCCCCCAATTTTGAGTTTACGATTACCAATGTTCAACTCCGTATCATTGTAATTTTTAACCCAGTCCAGAAGACAAGGGAACTCCTGGATCAAGTATCGGGAAAAGTTTGCCTTAGTGGAGGACGTTTTGGTATTATAGGGTGAGGAAAAACACAGAAACCTGCTACGGTTAGCCTGACAGCATGGGGACTCATGATCCGTCTAACACTGACGATATTTTATGTCAGCATTATGGTCGGCGTGAGGACGTTGTGGAATTCTTAATAATCAACCATCGCTGGGATTCAACCCGCGCCACACAATTGGGAGGCGAGGCGCCATCGTGACTAGCATTGCGCTATCGAATGATACTAGTTCATCGAAAATTTGTCAAGTAATAAAAAAAAACGAAATTCGCCTTCGTGGAGGACCTTTTGATGGAACCCTTTGATTTGCGTTACATGGAGAAGAAAACCACGACAACTTCCCTCGGTTAGCTGGACTGTGTGAGGAGACTCCATGATTCTTATACTACTGAGGTTATTTTAGGTCAGCACTGTGGTCAGTGCAAGCCGGATGCGGAACTCTAATCGACCAGCTACAGCTGGGCTTCGAATTCGGTTTATCTCAAGCGAGCCCTCTATCCCCTGAGCCACCACGGTTTTTACAACAGTAAACGTTCTCTTTCAATATTTTACAGAGCTTACGGGATAAGATATTTGAAAATGTAACGTTAATCGTTCAGGGCCGCTACATCCTTAGACTCACTCTAAAGATCAGAAATAAATTATTATTAAACACAATATTTTTAAAGAATAAATATGACGTATTAACTTTGTATTTTGTCAGTACCCAAAACAAAATTTTTGATGTTTTTTCTGTGATATACCAAGAGGAATAAAATGGTTACCATCATACCTTCTTGATGGTACTATTAAGGACTAAACCATAATCCCATGATAGAAATTGGAATAAATTTATGTTATAGAGAATTAAACGTACGATCTACAATGAGGGATTTTTATTTTTAGAAGTTATGGCATTGAACGCTTTGACGGAAATGGGACACATGTATCCCTTTTATAGATTTTTTCTGACGCTCTAATAACAAGCAAAAATATGTTTTGGTATTTTTGAATTATAAAAAACAGTCCCATAGTTATTAAAAAAATCTGCCACATTATCAGAATTGTATTCGTACTAAATTTAGAAAGGTAATAAAACGTATGAAGAGTAGGAAAACTTACCATGGGACATAGAGTCGGTGAAAAAAACCGTTGAAAAACAACTATAAAAGATATTACAAACTTCATATTACAGCAGTTGTACAAAGTGGCACTTGTTGACGTCATTGCACAGTCTACAACGACCAAAAAAACGATTCGAAGATGCAAGACGTGCTTTTGATGTCTGCCAAAGCGATGGCGATCTATGAGATCTTCTGTCCTGCATGAGTTTATGGCCTTTTTCACCATCTCATCGTAATTTGCGGTCTCATGTAATCGGTAAATTGTCATCATACTGATGCTCTTTATCACCTGTTTGAATTAGCCGGTCAAATTTTGGAACAGCCATAGTTTTAATGATTTTTAAAAATTATATTGGGCTATTAAAAATATTTAATGTTCTTAGTAGCATCGATAGTGTGACACGGTGACGCGTTACTCTTACCTTGCCGACAAAATAAATCTAACTTTATATTATTAAAAAGAAAATTTCAGTCCACAATTAAATTGTACTAAAACGAACGATCTCATCTGTTTTGAAATTTTGTAAAAGTGATATTTGACTTTGGGACAATTCTTAGTTTTAAGGTTCTCTCTGTTCTGTTGTAGTGTTTTCTCTTTTTTCAAAGATTGGTGCGTTAAAAAGTTGCGTTATATGTATATGTGATGTTTACAAACAACTAAAAAATTAAATGTATTGTGTATGCTTACAATTACTGCCTCAATTTTTAATATTGTGACGTAGCTACGTCACAATATTAAAAATTGACAAGTTCATTACAAATGAAATGAAAATTTTTCATACTTCCATAATGTAATTAAAAGAAGCAATTATCACTAAATTGAATTTGAAAATGCAAAACTAATGAAAAGAAAAATTAAATGAAAATATCATTTAATTGTTCTTTTTTTTTAAATTTTTTTTATGTAGAAATACGTACAGGAAAGAGTGTTGTAGTTAGTTTATTTATTTGCATCACCCTGTGGATAAATTATGCATTCAGTTTACGTATTTGATACCTGTAACAGCAGTAACTGTTTGCTGTGTTCGTGACCATTTCAGGTTCTCTAGGCGTGTGGTAGAGAACATTTTTGATTCATTAGTTTTTTCTTGACAATTTAATTTAAAAAAACACACCAGTGTCAACAACAAACACACAACGCTTATGCATCACGCTAATAATGAACGCTATGCATCATCCACCATTAACATCACGTTGGCATACCCGCCAACTTTTTCGATTTTAACGAACAATATTTCTGAGAGAATAGAAAATTTCACTCTTTAATATTTCACTCTGAACTGGTCTTTACTGGTTTGAAAATATTAATTTGAAGTTAATTTCATTACCACAGTTTAAAGAATTAAAAGAAAAAAAAAAAAAAAAAACATAGGCAAGAGCCGTGAAATTATGCCTTATACGTATAAAGCCTGATAAAATTTTAAAAATTGCTGATAATTTTAATGTTTTTTAATTATCTATGAAAAACTTTTAGCAAAAATTGTAAAGATTAGCTGTAATGACTTTGGCCAATTTCCTTTACTATGCTTATTGTTCAAGGACAGGTAAATATATTTTGAGTAATTCCGTATAACTGGGTAAATTGCTAATTTGCAATATTTTTTCTTGGAAAGGCAATATTCATTTCACATTCTTCCACATTCAACAAAACTTCTTCTTTAACTTTATTCCCTAAAAATCATCCTTCAGTTTTTAAATATTTTTAAAACAAAGGAAGGAATAAAGAAAAGTGTTGCTTCATTTGTTTTAAGTAATAAATTCCCCCCCCCCACTAGTAGCACCTGCTGTTAAATTTCTGTTATTGAAAATTAGGAGATGCAATGAAGAACCTGATTGGTAACTCGCGAAAAAAATTAAAACCAACAACTGTCTCTCGCATCTATAAACTTACATGCACAATTTTTTTAATTGCAGTAAGAATGGCACTTCAGTTCTTTCGTCCATTTTTTTTTAATCCCTCTGAAAACACTCATGCTTTAAAACGAGAAGAAATAAGCCAAATTCTACGTTACATAAAAGAGGCAAAAGCTCTTTAATTTGAATTTAACTTCGGGTGTTCGAGTTTTAATAAAAAGATGCCAAAAGTATGCTGTAATTTTTAAAAGTGTTTTAAAATTAGTTTATATATATTGCTAATTGTTTACTTTTATAATTTCTAAACTTTACTATATTTCTTTATTTATAGCAATGTTTTAAATAACTTTATTTATCAAAAACATTGCGTTTTCTCAGTGTTTTTATTTAATATTTAATTAAGTTGAAATATCATAATATTGTATATTATATATAAAAAAAACATTACTTGTTTAAATGGTTAATGAAACGAACAGTTTCGAATTCCTGAATTAATTTTATGACTTTTTGTAACTTTAACATTATTCCGAAGAAAAAAAAAAAGTTCATTTTAATGTCAGAGAATATCAATCTTTTATTAAACATGATTTAATTTCAGAACCATCATTGATTTTTTACATGGGTATTAATATCTTAATATAATATCTAATATTAGGGAAAAAAATATATAAGGAGTTATTCAGAAGAAAAACTTACTCCATTCTGCATTAAGTTATTGATTTTTTTCCAGCTTTCTTTGACAATGGTTTAATCCTGTATAAATTCATATTTTGTATCATAATATTATTTTCAACTAATTTGTGATTTTTAAACATTTTACTAAATTAGAAAAATATTGCTTGAAACACTGTTTTTAAGTGCAAACATTTTTCAAGTTTCATTAATTTAATTTAGAAAATCAACCACACAAAACTTTTGTTCTTCCTGCATACAAATGATGCATCATGCTCTTTCTCTGTTATTTCTTATTTAGATGTGCTGTGATACTTTGTTTTTGAATAATATTAGAGTGTTCAATTTATGCTAGTTTAATTTTTTTTCATATTGTCATTGCAAATAGATAAAAAGTAGAAATTAATGTTTGTTTGGTCTTCAAAGATCTGAAAAATTTTATAGCTTTTATATTTTAATAGAAAAATGGGAATAAAATTTTTTAAAACGAGTAAAAGAAGAAATAAATATTTTTTTACATAAATATTTTTCAAAACATTTTTATTCTAATTTTAACAATATTCTTATTTGCATCTTTTATTGTAAATAAATTGTTTTCCTTATAATAATACATCCCCATAAAAAATTCTGTTAATTGTGCTGCCATCTGTACATAGGATACAAGCATCATTCGTAATAAAGAAAAAATAATGTTGAATTAAAAGTTCATCAATACAGAATTAAAAAGAAATGATTGGGACTTCGAAAAGAGGTACTGGTCATGGAATATATACTATTACAAAGAAATAGTAATAATTATCATATCGTGGGAGAATAATTTATATTCATTGGCTATTATTTTTTAGTAAACTCTAATAGTATCTTTTTGCTCACACATACAAATGGAACAAAATATTTCTCTTTCAATAATCATCTTGAAAATTGCTCAGGCAGGTTTTTCTTTTCCGAGTTTTGTTATCTTCTGTGTAATAGAAAAAATTAAATTCATAGACACCATATTGTATATAGTGATAAAATATTCTTATTCCATCCAAGAATGAAGATTCTGGGTAATAGTTACTGGCTGGAAAAAAAATGGTTGAATTTCTTGCGAAGAAACAATTTCCAGGACATTCATGATGCCGAAAAAGATATTCCCACTTCAAGTTATGCTATTCCATGATGGAAATTCAATCCAAGGAGCCGATAGTAGTAGTGTGCCAGGCCTAAGCCTTAATTTTTTAAACAATTTCCAGCTTTCCCCAAGTGCTGAGAATTATTTAATTTTGTATGTTTTGGGCGATTTCACAGTATTGTGCATGTTGTGGAAATGACATTTACAAAGTTTGATTGCTCATAATTAAATAATTAATTTAGTTAGGTGACTGGTTTTTTTGCATTATAAAATCAGGAGATATGTCTCCTTTTAACCCAATGAATGTTTAAAAGTTAAAAGTAATTTAAACATCTTTAAAAAAGAAATTTGATGTGTTGTAGACATAACACGGAAAAATATGGTTTTTAGAAAGTTTTTCTACATTCACCAATATCTTTATTGGTGAATCTTAAGAATTTTATGAAATAAATTAAAACTTATTTTTAGGTAAGATTTCAGTGTATATTTCTGTAAAAGAAATCACAAGACTTTTGAAGAAATAAAATTAGTTTAATTGAAAATAACCAAATTAAAAGAAACGTGTATGTTGCAGACATGATGTTGCAGACACGACAAAAAGTTTCTCATTATAAATAATCTTCTTAGATGGTCATATATCATTAGAATATTACAGATTTCTTTTGTTAAATAAAGATTGTTTATTCATTTTTTTTAATATTTTAAAATTTTAAACTTAGAGTTTATTATAAAATTAATTATTGTAAATAGTTTTATTTTAGATTCCAGGCAAATGATGTGTAAAAAATTGCATTACAATTAAAGCTAGACAATTAAAATTAAAGCAAGCAGCTGTTTTTATACAGAGCACTTCCTTCTTTCTTGGGCACATACGGTTAATATCCCTAATAAAAAATTGTTTTACTTTTATTTCAGTTTCCTCTGCTAATTTATCATTCCTGGTTTTTCAACTACTAGTTCCAAAATCTGTTCTTTAAATATGCACCTGTTGCCTTTTCCTTTAAATGGCATTTTTAATTATCTGCTTTCTTTATAATGGAGGCTTTATTGATATATCTGCAGGGCTGATTGTGCTCCGGAAAAAATCCGGATTTCCGGATTTTTCGCTGGCAGTGATCCGGAAGTTTCCGGAGATCGAAGGTCCAGATGTTTCAAAAAAATCATTGATCGTAGAAGTTTCCGAAAATCAAATTTTCAATGGTGGAACTTAAAAATACAGATTATTTGTTTGTAAGGGAAAGCCAGATACTTTATAAGCTTATATTCATGATTAATATTCATTTTTTATCAGTAAATAGTTGTTATAATCATAAACTCAAGAAAGAAAGACATATTTGTAAATTTTAATTACTTCTCCAAGTCATCTTAGGTACATGTAAATGGTATAGGTATCTGTAAAATTTTAAATATATTTTAAGTAAACCAAGAAATATTGAGAAAAAGGGAAAAAAAAACTTGCTTAAATTTTTTTCTAATTTTTCAATTTAAACTGTTTTTTTTTTTTTATTCAAGAAATTTTCCGGAATTTTGACTTGGGCTCACAATCACCCCTGTATCTGTTAAAACATAGTTTCTTCTGAGGATATTTTGGCGAAGCATCATTTATTTTCTTTAATAATTGATACTAATTAATTTTCCCAAAGATTATCTGCTGCTGTAGCCAGATATTTTCTTGCTTCATTTTTTTATCTTTTGCTTTCTTCTTTTTACATTCTTTTGTGCTTCATTAAGAACCTTAGAATGGCTATATTCCTATATCTTCATTTTTCAATTGCTATATCTTCATTTTTTGTTCTTATGTGCTCCTTCTGTTCTTCAGTAAGAACCTTAGAATGGCTATATTCCTTTTTTTTTTCTTCTTTTCTTGCTTTCTTCTGCTTTGATAGTTTCATATTTCACTGCTTCAGCTTTTAAAATCTGTTTTCTCAGTGGAGACTTTTCTGCACTTGTTAATGGCATGAGGAATTTTTATAGTTTTCCATACTTAGTTTAGAATTTTATATTCTGTTTCAAGTTTTATTAACTTGAATTGATTATATAATAAACAAACAAATCAACTGGCAAAGATTAAATCTTTTCAAAACTCTAAGAAAAATTTAATTTCAAAGAAAAATATCTGCAAATAAGCATGTGCATAATCTAAATAATTTTAAAAATGTTCTATTCTAAACAATGTTCTACTCTAATTAATCTTCTATTAATTGTTTTGTTGCTATTATTCCTAACATAATTTAGAACAAATACACATGTTTGCCATAAATGCAATTGTTGTTTAAATTTAAAATACATATATTTTTCCCCCCTCAATAAATGGAGGAATCTAAACATGTTTTAAAATGAAGTAATTTGTCAATGTAATTAGCCATTACGAAAATAAATTACAACAATGCAAATTTTATAAGTTTTATGGTTTGTGATACAAATTTATTGAAAGAGTTTTTTTATGAAGCTCAGATCTTTATTAAAAATTAGTGAAATTTTATTTTGCAACTTCTCATGTCTGTAACATTGCAGACATGACCAATTTAAAAATTCTTTAAAAAATATTAAATAAAAAAATAATAATTTTTTAAAAATCAAAATAATTTAACACTGCAAATAGTTGAAAGAAATCCAAATTTTTTAGAAAATAGATCTTTTAATTTCTTTATTTTAATACAATTTTAAAAAAATCATTAACAAGTAAACATGTTATCTTATAAGCACCCCATATTTAAATACTAAACGTAAAAATGACGTTTTTTCAGTCAATAATTATGTAAATACAATATATTTCTTAAAATACCAGGTTTAATTATAAATATTAAATGCTGGAATTGCAAATTTTTTTTCTCCCTTCTCTTTGTCATGTCTGCAACTTTTAAACTCAATTTTTTACATTTTATGCAATTTAAAGAAAGTGCAGTACCTTTTTTTTTAACAAAACTAATTGAATATTCATAAAATACATTTATTGACCTTTAATTTGATATGTAGTTTATTAAATTTAATGAAAATTTTTTTTGAGCATGCAGGCTGCAAATAGCATGGAATCATTCCTTTTTATGTTCTGACTTCTTTTTGATATTTAACTACATAAATGCATATCATACTGTACATAATGTTTTAAAAAAATGTTTGTTTCTAAAATTATTAAATATTTTTTTTTTTTAGGATTCACCTTGCCAAACTAGTTCTCAAATCAAAAGCATAGTTAACTTATTAGATGATAATAGAAATGTTAAAGACTCTACTTTAGAATTCTCTTCTGAAAATGAGAATATTAATTTTCAAGCTGTTAAACTTGCATTGGAAACTGATATTATAACTTCTTCTAAGGATTTGCATTGCTATAATTCGAAGAAAAATAATTTGTCTGGCCAATCTTTTTTGAATGATAATTCATCTGATGCAAAAGTGAAAGAGTTTGGTTCAAATGAAGTAACTGATAAATATATCAAATCAAAACTGATAGACACCCAAGATTCAAGTACACATGTAAGGGAAGTTATAAATCTAGAATCAAGTGATGATGAGGAATTGTACTACCCAAATAAACTAGATGAAAAAAGTATTGATTCGAATGTAGTGGACACGAAAAATTTTATTGATCATGGAGATGTAAAACAAATTGTTGGTATAAATCTACAATCAGTTGATGATGAGGATCAGTTTCTATATGGGTATTCTGATCCTCCTTTAAATGAGGTAAAAACACGTATTAATGAGAAAAAAACTGAGATTTTTTTAAAGTCAAATTGGAGTGACGATGATGAATTTGACCAACAGGAGAATGAAGGTTTTGTTAATAAATTAGAGTTGAAGGTTAGTGACAATGTGGATACTAACATTGTGGATCATCCTCTGTTGCAAAAAAATAAGTCTTCTTTATCAAGTTTGTCATTAACACCTGATGCTAAGACAGCAGTCAATAAGTTTATAAATGGAAGGGCAGAAGATTGTATTTTTTCAAAGCAAGTTAAAATAAATGCAGAAAGAAAAGCTAATCTAACTTCAAGCAGTGCAATATGGAGTGATGATGATGAGTATGAGATTGAGTTTTTTAAGAACAAACTATGTTGTGATAATAGTAAATTGAATGAAAAATCATCTTCATTGAAAGTCAATGAAAACAAAATAGCTAAAGGTATTTTAAAAAAAATAGTGGGGCAAAGTGAGGAACCATCCTTATTATCAAATAATATTAAAGAAGCTAATAATGAATTGGGAAATAACAGTAAGGAAGCTTCTGAAAAAGATGAAGCAATGTGTAGAAATGAAAATGATTTAAGTGATGAAAAATTAAAAATTCCAATTCAATCAGATCCATTTTTCAAAGTGAAAAGTAAATGGGAGAACAGTGAGGAAGAAAATGAAACTGAATGTAATACTTTATTACTCAATGCAATGATATCTTCAAAGACAAAGCAAATTAATCAACCGAGCAAATTAAGTAAGTTAAGCTCTAGTAAAAATTTACCTGAAAGCGGACAAAATAATTCATCTTCAGTAATATCTTTCAATCCTGTAATGATTGATGATGATTTTGAAAAAAATCCTTCAAAAAACTCTGCTACTGAAAGTTCAAAGAAAAATCACAAATATTCAGTTAAAGATTGTGATAAAAAAAAGTTTCTGAAAAATAAAAATAGTTCGAAAGCATATGATCATCAAAGACGATTGGATCATGATTCTAATTCAAAAAGTAATTTGCCTTCTGGCAATCACGTTTCAAATTCTGGGTCTTACAAACAAAAACAAATTATAGAATATTCTCAGACTCAATCTTATTGGGATGAGCAAGACTTTTATTCTATCAGGGAAAAATATACTAATTATTCTAGAGGTAAAACTTCTACATCAAGCTCACATGATAGACATTGTTATTCACCTTTTAGAAGAAAGGGTGGTAGGCCTAGCATTTCTCCTCCTAGACATAGAAGTTATAGGCAAAGCATTTCACCTCCTAAACATAGAAGTTATAGGCAAAGCATTTCACCTCCTAGACAAAGAAGTTACAGGCATAGCCGTTCTCCAATAAGAAGGTATAGTAGATGTCGATCTAGAAGTCCAAAATATTACAGAAGTTCTTATAGTTCTAAATATTCTGCAGAGGGATCCCCTCACAATTTTTCATATAATAGAAAAAGACACTCATTTAGGAGCAGTGATAGTGAAAGTCTTTCTGATTTCTCTTTTTCAAGCTCAGGCAGTTATGGTCAGCAATCAAGAAATAGGCCATTCTCTAGAGCAAAAAACCAAACTATAAGAAAAAAATCTATAACACCTAAGAAAAATAAAATGAAGAGTTCATCAAGATTAAATAAAAAATTAAAGCAATTTGCAGGGCCAATTGAAGTACTAGATTCTTCAAAAGCCAAAGTTCATGATATTGCTCAGAGTTCAAACTTAATTAATTGCAAACTTATGCAAGATGTAAAAGAAGTTGAATTGCTTAAAAAGCAAAGAACTGGCGAGCAAAATATTGATAAGGAAAATTCTGGTTCTGTATTATCGAGTAAAGTTTTACCTCCAGAACAAGTATTACCAGCAGTTCCCTCTTCGTTTCCAGATTCTCAAAAACTTCATAAATCTTATTCTAAGCAGCCACCTGGCTCTTATTATAACATTCCTTGTTGTGAAGATGCTCCTTCACAGACATCTCCCAAAAATTTAGAACCACGTAATTGTTCAGAATACCATAGTTTTTCTCCAATTGATAATGCAGTGTTTCCAACAGCAGAGAATAAACATTCAACTTGCAGAAAAGTTTATTTAAAATCTACTCCAAGGAACAATTTAGTTCAAATTTCCACAAAAATCCCTAAAAAAGATAAGAACTGTAAAAAAACTTGTAAAATAGCTGAACCTGTGAGTCAAATTATTGAAGAAACCAAACTTTTGCCTGATTTGACTAATGCTGCATGCCTTAGAGATAGCAAAGCAATTGATCAAATCATTCCTTCATCCATAAAATCAAATTTCACTTATCCGTCAATTTCTATATCTAAATTAAAAGAGTCTGCTGTAATTTATGACACAGACCATACTGATCAAAAATATAATGCAGATGTTGATTTTTATAAGAAAAACTTTAAAGGTTCTGTTTTTGATGAGAAAATTTTAAAAAAGGCACTAAGTAGTATAATTATGAATATGGCTGAAACTCGTAATTTTATAAAACAGATAGAAAATAAAAAAAATACTTCTAAAAGTGATAAGAATGTATTAAGTTCATGCAAAAAATTTATTGTTCATGCTGAAAAACAAAGAAATATTCTCCTTGGAAAAATTGAACAAAAGTGTGAAGATTTAGAAACTTTACAGAATATGTTTAAAAAAGAGGACCTTAAAGCATTGGGAAAAGAAATTGAAACTAAGGTAACTAAAAAAGGAACAATTTTATACTATGTAAAAAATAATTGTCTAATTTAAGTTATATAATTTTTATAATCGGCTTGTTTTAATTGCAGCATATTAAACAAAAATTTTATAAATCTTAGCCGTTCCCTTTTATGACTTGTTCAGAAGCATGCGAAGAAACACTTAATACCTAATAATGAAGCGGCACAAGACAACATTTCCTGGCATGGGTTCCTATACAGTTTTAATCCTGGTGGTGTGCCCCAACTCTCTTAGAAATTAGTTGTAGTATTTATACGACCCACTGTTATATGTAACATTTTCACAAAAGGTAGACTGAAAATATCATTAAAAAAAAAAAAAAACTAAGGTGGTAAGAAAAGCATTGTAGATTTAAAATCATCAATGTGAAAACATCCAAGATTCACTAAAAAAAAAATATTCTACAGCCGAAAACTAAGCAAAAAAAAAAGTTGTCCGACAGTGTAATCTGTTTGAGACTATTTTAAAAAATATAACAGTAAAAATTTTTAATACATGCCACAAATCTATAAATTTAAAGAGTCTAGAAAATCATATGTGTTGGAGTTAATAATGTTACCCATGTAAAATATGGATCCCACTCTATTGCAAAAAAGTTCCCTGCACCTGACAGCAAAAATGGTGGCACCTACTTTACACCAAAGTAGTGTATCACTAAGTGTTCAAACTGTACTAAAACCAAAGATAGTTCTTAGTGAAGGGAAACACTACTTGGTGTAAAGTAGTCACCACCACTCTTGTTATTCAGTAATACTAAAATTTATAATTACAGTAAGATATGTTACACATAAAAATTGTTGCTTTTATGATACAATGTTAAGCAGGAATCATAAATTTAGGATGCATATTATATGAAATTTCTTGAAATAAAATTAGGATTTTAATCTAACATATACACAGCACAAACAAAATATTAATATGAATTCAAATTACCCAAGTATATTGAAGTTCAATATTATTTTGTAAAATTAACAGATTTATGTAAAGCTTACGGGAACATAATTATCTTTATTATACTACTAAAAACATACAAGCATTTGATAAGAGTTTTTATGAGTAGTTTGTCAATTCAATCTGACAATAAAAATTCACCAGAACACTTAATCTAAACAAACCACTATCTTGCCCGTCATATTGCCTCTATCTTGCAATTGCACAATTAATCTGCTAATCGTCCAAAAGCATTTATTATATGCTTAAAACATGGCCTGCCATCATTTTTCTTAAGAATTTAGTTAAATAGTTCAAACATACATTAATTATTTGCTAAATTAAGGAATTCCAAATAAAAAGATCTTCTTAACCAACAAACTTTAGATTAGTATAAGCTTTATCAATTATTGGTGTTAAAATTAAACATCACCTTTTGAAGTGTATATAAATGCTGGTTTCAGTACTTGTTTTTGATTTTATAAATTTTCATACATGATTTTTCACCGATCGTTTAATTCAACTGACTTAACTACTCGTTGCTACTTAATTAAAAATTTGGAGTAGACTTATACAACTGGATATATGATAGGACTTTTTTTATGTTAGCTGTCGGCTACCAAATGCAATTATCTTAAAACTAATTAAAACATTTTAATTTTACAGCTAACAACTTTTTCATTAAAGTAATCTAGTGTATCACTGTATATAACAGGAAGGTTTCCCACCCTGAAACAAATGCAAATGCTTTGTGTAAAATAACTTGTGATATTTTTTTCATTTGTATTTTTTTTTAATATTTTGAAATTAATAATTTTGTAAAATTAGGTATACAGATTTGCGGAAATCCCAATGTTATTATTCTCAATATTAAATAAATTTTCATTATATCATCATTGCTCTTCAGTTACCAGATTATCGTGATCTTATCATTTAAGTAATGCTTCTAGTTTTCATGTTTTTAAATCAACCACTTACTCAGGATGTGAAAGCTCAATTTGACAAAAAATCCACAATAATTGACAAAATGCTCCACTGTTTCATTTAAAATATATGTTTATCTTAGAAAAAATGAGAGCAATAAAAAATAAATAAATTGCATGCAAGATCCAAATATCTGAAACAACAGAAAGCTGTAATCTTTCTCTAATGACTGTTTCTCACAATCCATTGATCAAATGGATTGTGAGTAAAGGTCATCAGTTCATTCTATCTCATTATTTGTTTTATACTTTACTGTTCATAACTTTGTTAGATAAGCATTTTCTTATAATTTTTACAATGCATTTGATGGTTTTCATTTCCTCATCATTTAATACTATTAATTTCTTTAATTACATTATACATTGATAGCAAGTCATATTTAGTTAAATTATGTATAATGAATTGTTCATTGCTATTTTGTAGCAATTTTTATTCACATGCTTTAGTATTGTGATTGGAATAAAAAATTTTCAGAGAACTTATTACACCACAAAGATGGTTGTGTATTTTAGTTTAAAATTGCATATAATGTGGAATTTATATATATAAAAATTTAGAAAAAATATAATTTTTGATTTAAGTGCAGACATTTTCTGTTTAGATAGGCGAAAGCAGTTTCATACCTCGTAGAACATCAACTCCGATAAAATTTGCAGCATATGACGCCCAACATCACTGGTGTGATTTTTGTTGCAAAGAGTTTATCACTGTGGGCGAAATATTAACTCATTTTTACAGTTCTGAGCATCTAAAAGTAATTGTTTGTGCTTTATTCTCTCTTTTCATGTCTTCCTTGATCTAATTCTAAGTTTAAAACTTCTAACATTGTATGTAGTCCAGTCAAATTATAATGAATTGTTACAAAAATAAGTTGTTGCTGGATAAGTTTAGTACAGTGATGAAAATCAGTTTTCCAATTCCTCCTAGTATTGTGTGAGCTAATCAGAATAGGAAAACGTCACTGAACCAGCCCAGACATGTCCTGAAACTAGAAGTACCCTAATTTTTGTAATCATTCAAAATTTTTGTGAAAATTTGATTTTAATTTGTATTGCAATGAAACAAATTATTTTTGATATTATAAATTTCTAAAAATGTAAATGTTTTTGTAACTTAATTCTTTTATTTGAATCATATTCCTTAGAAAAAAATGGATTAAATTATTCATTTTATTTACTATGTGCTATAAAGGTGTAGTAAAGCACATACATGAGGAAACGCTGTATCCTCAACCCTAACTAGTTTTTTGACTTAATCCCATTAGTTATCTTTGTACTTTTTTTACATTTATAAAATAAATTTTTTTTTAATCATGATTGTAATTAAGTATAATAATGCGAAGATCAATCCCCAGTGAAAACATTAATATGGTTACTATCAACATTTTTAAAACTCTAAATTACATTAAAAATTAAAACTTTAACTTGGTTTAAATTAAGAGAATTTGAAACGTAATGGCAATGTAGTGAGACTTGCCAAGAGTTGCAGACCTTAAACTGATGTCACTTTACCGGATTCACAATTGGTTTTTACTTTAAAAATGACCCTTGAATATCAATTTCAAAAATGAGTTACCGGGAAATGAGTCTTATTATCAGGGCCTAAGCGTAGGTGTCTGCACCAGAGGGCATTGTTACTAAAAAAGAGCACATTTTTTTTCTTAATTATAAATCTTTTAGGAAAATATCATGCCCTGGAGAAATACCTTTTCCATTTGAAGTATTTTATGACAAGCAAAAAAAAAAAGTTTGTGGGTTTGATCCCTGCCAGCCGAAGTAGTGTAGTAAATAGTGACTGATGCACGTTAACGCTGAATGAGTGACGACAACACAATAAAAAAGATACTGCTTTTTAGACACACTGGAAAAAGAAAGCGGGGAAGGCCGCGGTTGAGATGGGCTGACTCAGTGGAGTCTGATTTTCTCGCAATTAATGAAAAAAATTGGAGATCAAAGATAAATCGGAAGTCGTCATTGAGAAATCTTCAGAGGAAGGCATTGGCTCACATTAGGCTGTCTGGCCAACTATGATGATGATGATGCACGTTAAATCTGTTGAGTCACAAAGTTCTCCATGTTCCCATAACAAATCATACCTCTGGGGGTACTAATCCAGGAGTTTCCTTGTCATCTAGATTGGTTCATAATTACAAGGCTACGGAGTTGTACATTAGTAGTCGTAAACCCCAAAACTGGGTCGGCTGTTCAACGACGGATATAAGATATAATATAAAACATAGCAAAAGGTAAGTTCAAGTATGCCATAAAGTTTCAAATGCTGAAAATTGTTTTCAAAATATCAAAATGCAGACAAATTATGGACAAGTTATGCAATCGAGAAGTAATTGCTTAAAGTTTTTCAAAAGTTTAAATTTAATAAAAGTATGCTCGTCTTTAACACAGCTATTAATAAAATGTTTTTCTTAAGCTGCAGGCTGTTTTCAGCAGTGATTTTTTTTTAATTTTCCAGATTTTACTAGGAGTTTGTGTTGTTTTATTGCTTATAACACAAAGCAGCAATTCCGTTAACTAGTTATCAAGCATGAAGTACGTCAAATATTGTTGAGATACAGAATAAAAAGTTATGGCATGTCTTCTGGGACGTGTGATTCTCCATTTAAAAATTAAAAAAAGGATTTGAGTTAGCAAAATTAAGTAAAATTTTAAAAATAAAAAATAAGTATAAAAAGCTGCATCTGTTACTAAAAAAAATATAAACAAAGAAAGATAAATACTAAAGCTATAAACCGATAATGCAAGAATAAATTAAAAATAATTATGGGGATTTCAGTTCAGAATGCTATCACTGAAGAATTTTAAGTAATAATGTCACTGGAGAAAATGATTGTAAGATATATTTGTTTTCAATAGTAAAAGATTTCTTTTAGTAAGAAAGGTGTCTGAAATAGGAATGTCCCTGGTCCTAAGGACCTGTAGTTTTCTAAGTATTGCGGAACCACTGATAAAGAATTTCCAATTTCATTTCAAAAGCATTCCATTCAGAAAATTAAAATTGTTAAATGCCAGATGTCATACATAATGTTCTAAATTTCAGAATAGTGAAAATGTTTTGGAGGTCACAGTGAAATTTAGAAAATTGTTTTAGAATGGGAAGACTTATTGGCTATTTAATTTAAACATGGATTATAGTCTAATTTTAATTTGTTTTCATTCCATGTTTTAATTCATAGTTTTCTTTTAATTTTAAATAAATTTTTTTTGTTTCATTATGAAGTTTAAAAATGCAACCTTTTACTAAAATGTTTCATTGTATTTTTTTGAAGAGTGTTGATCCATGTCATCCTATTAATTTCAAAGAGCCAGTCAAAGAAGTGATTGAAAGTGATTATGTTCTTAAGCCCATTAAAGGTAATTTAATTTCTTTTTATAATTTTTCAATGGGAGTTGTGAAGACAAATTCATTTTAACTGATTCATTACATACTGTCCTGTTAATTGAATACTTGTTCAATTTTTGTGAAAATATGTCATATTCTTTTCCATGTTATTAGTATAGTTCAAATAAAATTTTTTTCTAATTTATAATTTTATCTTTCCTTATGATAATATGCCTTCCTTACCTAAACAATAGTGATTTTTTTTTAAATTAAAAATAACTTAATTTACAGAAGTTATAAAATGTTTTCTGGAGTTTTTAGCGTGATACTGAATTTATTAATATTTGTAAAAGTAATTGACTGTAATTGTTCATTCAGCTCCTTTTTAGTATATTTAATATGCTAAACCGTTTCAATTAAAATGTTAAATGTTAAGTTTTTCAATATTTTAAGTTATCCTATCAACTATAGTTACAATCAGTTTTAAAAGTATGGAATAGATTTTCTTCTTGATGAGAATTTCACATGTTTTAAAAATTTAGTCGTGGTAATTTTTCAAAGATTTAGCAGCAGATAAAAGGAAGCTCTTTGCCTGTCATATTTAAAATCATGCATTCCTATTTATAGCAAAAAAGAGAAATGAAGAAATCATAGAATCCCAAGAATAAATGAAAAAAAAAGAAGAAGAAAAAAAAACGGCAGAGGTTTCAACTATTAAGATTTATATATAATTATTTCGATTTCACCATAAATGTTACGGTCTTACTAATAATAAACTTAATATGCTAATAAAAATTGTGACTTTAGAGACTTTTCATTATATAAAATCTATTTAAAATACATTTACCTTTAACGACTAAGAGTTATTATGTTTTGTTGTGTGTAGCTAATGTATAATAATTTTTAATTTTTTCCCACTTCTTAAACAATTCTAAAAACAGAAATGATTTGATAGAAATTAGAAATAAAAGTAACAAGAACAATGAACACTATCTCGTCTTTTTCTCTTCCCCTTAGCTATTTTTAAAAAGACCATGATGACTGGTTTAAAATTGAACCGAAAACTAAATTAATGATTTCAGTTAATCAATTTATATTTTTATGAGGAAATGTAAAATTTCAGATATTATTTTATTTGGTACTTTCCACTAAGCGTCACTCTTTTTATTTATCAGTAAAATTCATGCACAATTTTGTTAATATTTATACCTATATAGAATTAAGTAATATATATACACCTTAAAATTGTGTTAATTTAAATTTCATTAACACTAGCGTCTATTAAATATATTTGTGTTATTTTATTTTGAAATGCTGATAGCGGTCTTACTAATAATAAATTTAATATGCTATTTAAAATCGTGACTTTTGAGAATTTTCATAATAATCTATTTAAAATAGATTTACCTTTAACGGCTAAGAGTTATAAAGTTTTGTTGTTTGATATTAATGTGTAATAATTTTTAATTTTTTCTACTTAAGCAATTTTAAAAGCAAAAATGATTTGATTTTGATAGAAATAAGAAATAAAAGTAACTAGAACAATGAACACTATCTCGTCTTTTTCTCTTCCCCTTAGCTATTTTTAAAAAGACCATGATGACTGGTTTAAAATTGAACCAAAAACTAAATTAATGATTTCAGTTAATCAATTTATAATTTTATGAGGAAATGTAAAATTTCAGATATTATTTAATTTGGTACTTTCCACTAAGTGTAACTCTTTTTATTCATTAGTGAAATTCATGCACAATTTTGTTAATATTTAGACCTATGTAGAATCAAGTAATATATATAGACCTTAAAATTGTGTAAATTTAAATTTCATGAACACTAGCTTCTTTTAATTATATTTCTGTTATTTTATTTTGAAATGCTGATAGCAAGTTCGGAAAGTACTCAAGTCTGTAACTTCTATTAAATCCAATGTTACTAGAATTATTCATGATGTTCTTACAGATCAAGTAGTTATTTATTAGTTTAATGTTTCGATATTTGAGACAAAATATCTGATTTGAAAAACTTGTGATTAATTTAACATAGACTTATAAAAACTTGGAAGGCATCTTTCCTTTCCTCCTTTAATCTGTTTCATTTTTATTTCTTAGGAGTAGAATTTGTCAAACCACATCATTCATTTTATTGCACTCTGTGTAATGAATCATTGTTGAGTAAAAGCCATGCTCATCAGCATTTAAAAGGACACACTCATACTTTCAATTACTATATGGTAAGAAAAATCTATATATATATGAAACACAATATATGCTTGTGTGTGTATTCCTCATAGAAATCCACATTCCTGACAGTAAGGACAATAAATATTAAAATGGAAGGTAAAATATGTTTCGATAAAATATTGTTGTAGACGATTATTGTTATGGACAGTTTGAACTATAAAAGCACATGTTTGAAACTGATGATAATTTAAACATATGTGATTTTAAATGAAATTTTACATGTGATTATGAAACTACATTAATATAAAATGTTAAACATAAATTTATTTTACAGCAAAAAAAAATATATTTAAGAAATTAATTAGTTAATTTTGTTTGCTTATTTTTTGAAGAATTCAGTCCATCTAATGAGTTCAAATGAACATCAAATGCCTCTGTAACGTTGAAACAAAATCTTGCAGAGTGTTAATTAATGATATATGGCAATTTCAGAACAGTCAACAGTCTCTTCCTCATAATACAAAATAACTTCTGCTAAAATCTAGTTTTTTGCACCACTAAACACCAACACATCATTGTCCAAATGTAAAAATTTATCCATGTTAAATGTAAAAGACGGATTAGAAAATCTTTGGAAAGCACTGATAATTGAAGTTAAACCAACTACATACTCTACATAGTTTTAGTTAGCTCAATTTCCACATTTTCTTTTTCAACGAGAGAAGCTTCCTTAAAATTTAAGATTTTCAACCTCCAGAAATCTAATCAAATGCATTTTTTACATCAATTGCATAAGGATTTGGTTTTAGTTTGAAGTTCATAATCCAAATTATAAATAACGTTCTGAGCTAATATTTTTTGGTATCCTTCGTAACACTTTATTATGCCCAAATCTGATGACTGTAGAATCGATGTGCAAATTGGAGAGAAAATAAAAACAATTGATTGTTTCTCAAACTTAGGGGATTATTGTGAGGTAGGCAGTATTCAACTATGAGAGCTATTTTCTTTTTATTCTTTTTCATCCCTTTATCCACATCAAGCAGCCAATTGTTAAAGATTTCTTGTAATCCGGGTCCTCATGTTTGCCTAATAGGGGAACTGGTAAACTTTTCACAACTTTAAAACATCTAAGTTTGGCATATCTTTCAATAACTAACAGCTTCAACTTATAGATTCTAGTACTGTCAACCTCTGTTTTGATTTTTTTACCACCATTAAAATTTCCTCCTTTGACTGCCATTGTTTTGTTTGGCATGAGCTGATAAACTAAGCCACTTTCATCCACATTGTACATGTTATCAGGATAATTCATTTTTTTCAATCTTCTCCTTTATTCTTTGTTCCCTGGGTGAGGCATGATTGACTGGAGATAACTTTTCTTTACCTGAGATGCTTTTAAAAAGAATTTCCTGTCGTAATACATCCATTGCTAGCTTTAAAAGTCATTGTTGCTTAACAAGGATGCAAATGTTCTTACTTTTTTTTCTGCAGTCATCGGTCTAGAGCGCTGGAGGTTTGGGATGAAGCACTCTCCTCTCAATTAGACAACTCAGGTTCGAATCCCAGTGTTGGCTGCTTGATACGAATTTTGCAACCGGCTTGCACCAAATACAGTGCTGACGTAAAGTAACCTCAATGTTCGATCAATTATGGGTTAGTGTCCCCTTGCTATAAGGCTGACCATAGTTTCCTCTCCATGTAATGCAAATATGTGTGCAAATATGTGTGCAAATATGTATGAAAATATGTGTGCAAATATGTATCAAAAAGTTCTCCACGAAGGCAAATTTTCCCATAATTTGATCCAAGAGTTCCTTTGTTTTCTGGATTGGGTTCGGAATTACAAGGTTACAGAATTAAACATTTGTAGTCGTAAACTAAAAAAATTGGGTCAGCTATTTGTTGACAATTGTAACGTAAAAGAAAAAAAAAACTAATCGGACCATTAATAGGCATATTTTGTTGCATCATTTCATGAAACCATCTTAAGGTAACTTTATCAACATCCTTGGTCACTGCATCTTAAGTATTTTTCTTTTGCTTTCAATTTTATTTGCTTCCACAGCATCTTCGATATCTTTTCTTCAAAAAAGTAGTATTGTAAAATCCCATATTTTTTAGCGGCATCAACTTGCTGCTATCCATGATCAATTTCCCGAAATGATTTTTAACTTCAAATAATGCTTTACACTGAACCATCATTTTTAACAGAAAAAAATTAAATTTATTGCAAGGAAAACAGCCCAAAGTGAGGTATGACTAACTTACAAAAAATATTTGAAAGTAACTATTCTGGGAAAAAAAAACTCTCCCAACATATCTCTCATTAACAAACTCGAAAATCAGAACCTGTTCAGACTGATGTTTTCCAGATGAAACAGGCCCACCCCTCAAAATCAAGATGTAGAGATGGCAAGAATAAATACATGTCACAGCTCTGAACAAATATTTCTGTACAATGGTGGGGAAAGCTATTATGTTCTTTATTCTCTTTTCCCAAAAGGAATTTTTTTCCTCAGAAACAATGAATGGACATCTGAACGCAAGTAAACAAATTCTTTGGCTGGATGGGGTGTCATTTTTGAGTGATAGAAAAGTCTGGTTATGAGTATCATCAGCTTTCTGAAGAGGGAAAGATATTGTTACAGACTGATTTAGCTGAAAATTGATTATCTATGTTAGCAGGTTTAAAATACATTGAATAAATAAAAATTTCACTAGGACCTTACGGAAATATCTGCGCACCTGGAAAGTCATGAAAAATCATGGAAAGTCATGAATTTTGGTATTGAACAAAATTTGTCATGAAATAACATGATTTTAACTATTTTTTTAAAAAAATTATGGAAAGTCATGGATTTAGGTCTCCGAAAAATTTTATTTTAAAAATGGAATCCCCTCCCCCAATTTCATGGTGTTCCGAATATCTGAATTTGTAACAAAATCATATTTTATTAAAATATTATTTTGCTAAAAATATCATATATTTTATTAAAACATAATTTATTACATATTTTATTAAAATATAAAAAGTTTTTATCATTTTCTTTCAAAATTATGGTGTTCTTTAAAAAAAATGAAAGAAAAAATATCATTTCTAGAGCGAAGTATTTTTTAAACTTCTGTGATTTCAGAATTATTGTTAATATTTCCATTTTATCAATTTAAAATTCTAGCTAAAGCAAACCAGTCATTGGGAGATTTTTTTTATTCCAAAATGAGAACAGAAAAATCAGGAGTATTTCTTTCCTTTCTGATGAACAAGAAAAGTATCTTTAGAATATCATTCCGCAGAAAAAAAGAAAAAAAATTATTTTTTCAGCTATTTTATTGCTTCAACTCTTTCTTTACTCTGTTTTTTAAATTAAAATTATACCTATCATTTTAATTAATGTTATTATAATGCTTTTTGAATTTATTATTCTGTTTTTTTGGGAGAAAATATCTTCGTTAAGTCATGAAAAGTTCATGGGAGTCATGAATTTGAAAATCTAAAATATAGCAGATATCCTGTTTATCTTTTTAAATAAGTTTATCTTTCTAAGCAAGTTTTTACTTTATATGCTATGTGTCAAATTAGGGAGTTAGTTTGTAGGGGTAATAATATTTCAAATTTTTAGACTTAATTATATGCTTTATAAATTAAATAATGCAACGACTTAAAAAAGGGCAAACTATTATCAAAAAAAAAGAAAAAGTTACTCAATATGTACCAAATGCTAATTTGGACAATTTATAGCATGGCAAAAGAGGAATTTAGCCTGTACTGTCACTTGTTTCTCCAAAAATGTTTAGAAAATTTAAATAATGCAAGTACTTATTTTGGGGTGTTACATACTGTTAACACTGATCATTTAATCATTAATAAGCTTTTTTTTTAGCATGGCCTCATTTCTTTACTTTGCCTCATTTTTTTATTTTTTTTATTTAAAAAAATATTTTAATTCTTTTAACAATTTGATTTCAAATATTCTATAACAAAATACAATTTCATTTTAAAGTTTATATTTATTTAATTTTATTTAGCATTACAATGAAGAAAATCCTACGTATGATATGTTTAGAGAGGTAAAGAAAACATTGTATAAACATGGTTTGATCAAAAACACCAAACAAAATTTTGCTGAAAAGCGATTAACATTTGGTAAAAGGCGATTTCTATATCCTAAAGCTGATGGTAAGCAGGCAAATATTCTAGTAGATAATGAAAAATCTACTAATTGCAGAATAGCTTCAAGAAAGAAAATTGACATTAAAATTAAAAATAGACCTATGATTGGACAGATGCCCAACTATAAATCTCGTGCAAATCTAAAAAAAATTCTAATACGAAAAGAAAAAGTTGGAGATAAAATCTCACTAACGGAAAAAAATTCTCAAAATAATGAAGTCTGCAAAAACACAGAAGAAAATCAGTTTCAAAAGGCAGAAGAAAATAATGTTTTAGAAAGATCAGAGGTTAATGCTTTATTTGATGAAGAAACAAAAGCTCATAATGAAACTTCTCTGATTAAAGAGAATGTACCAAATAAGGAAATGTGTATGAACTCAGAAGAAAATCAGTTTCAAAAGGCAGAAGAAAATAATGATTTAGAAAAATCAGAGGTTAAGGCTTTATTTGATGAAGAAACAAAAGCTCACAATGAAACTTCTCTAACTAAAGAGAATGTACCAAATAATGAAATGTGTATGAATTTAGAAGAAAACCTGCTTCAAAAAAGAGAAGAGAATTGTGACATTTTTTTAGAAGAATCTACTGTAAATACTTTTGCTCAAAAAACAAAAGCTGATAATAAACCTTCACTAGCTAAGGAGATTTCACATAACTATGAAATACTTAAAAACACTAAGGGGAAACAGCTTCAAGAAAATGACAAAAGTGATATTTATTCATTAAAATCTGAAGTGATGCTTATTGAAGAAAGGCAGAACAAAACTAGCCTAGAACAGAAACTTCCTTTAAAATTTTCCCCTCTCTTTACGCAATGTGGGAAAATGTCATCTTTTCATTTGGATTCTCAAGAGAATAAAGCTGAAAATATGTTTCCAATTACACCTGAAGAAGAAGCAAAAACACGAGTAGATTTATCTTCTAATAGTTTTGATTTAAACAATCCACTCTCATCTTCACCTGCACAAGTTCTTTCTCATGAAATTATAGTGGATCAACCTAATTCAGATTTTGTTCAGACTACAGATATTCATGAAATTCAGGTGAACACAGAAAAGCTTAATACTAAAATGGAAACTGAAATAAATGTCCCTGGTGTGTCACCTCATTCATTTAAAAGGAAGTATTCTGCTTGTGATTCAATTGAGAGAGACACTAAGAAACTAGCAATAAGTTCAGACTCAGAAAATGGAGCGCTTCAGAATATTGCAAGTGAAAATCAATCATCTTTTGAAGCTACTTATTATTTATATTGTAGAGATACTGAAAGTCAATCTTCTCAGTTAAATACTGCAGCTTTCATTACAAACAAAAGTTCAATAACTGAATCTGAAACTTTGTTGGATTGTGAAAAAACTTTAACAAGTTGTATTAAATACAAATTACCAGCTAGATATGTAATTAACGATATTTTTGGAGGTCGCAATACGTCAAGTTTTAGAGTAAAAACTCAAATTGACAAAGATTTTCAAAAGTATACAGTGCAGAGTCAGAAAGTATTGACCTCTATTATAAATATGGTTGCCAAAAATATTGATAAGGAACTTGATACTGTAAAAATTAAAAATAATGAAGCAACTTCTGACTTTAAAGAATTTGCTGTTTCCCTGACATCAGTACCAGACAAAGAGTATATTGAAGAAATGAAAAGTGTAGTTAAATCTCATGATAGCAGTCTACCAATTTCAGCTGCAAATGATGTCCTAGAGCTCAAGAATGATATTCACTTTTCATTGAAAACTAAATCAACTAATGAAAGTATTGCTCAAGAAAATTCTGAGTATGTACTCAGAGAAGGTAATGCAGAGCTTAAAGATGTTTCACTGGTTGATGTGAATTTAGCTGATTGTGGTGATTTTAAAGGTTTGTTAAGTGTTTTTGTATTAATATTTATATTTTTATAACTATTTTATAATATTTGCTTTAGATAGAAATTGTTTTTCAAAAAAATCTGAATCTTGAATACATATTGCAGAACCCAAAAACTTACATCTGAAATTGAATTATGCATGCAAACTAAAAGAAGTTATTATATAGAAAGTTTTAAATACTTAAAATAATTGAATAAATAATTATATTAGTAAAACTAATGTATAGAAAATGTATATGTAATATTTTTTATAGTAAATCTTAAGGTTATAATTATCAAAAATGTATTATTTTTTATTTATTTTTTTGTTGCAAAAATTACTATCATACAGTTTTTAAAGAAAATTTGTTATAATTTTATTCATATAGTATTTATATACAGTAAAAAGATCTTTATAAAGCAAACCTTAAAATGCAAGGCCTTTTATTGTATAGAATTTTGCATTATATAGATATCTTTAAACGTACCTTTTAAACATAGCAATATTAGTCTGGAACAGATCAATCTTAAAATGCTCTAAAATAGTTTTTAGATATAAATAATGAAAAATACAAATATGTTCTTTATTATTTACAGAAAAAAATTTAAATTTTCTGGAACATAAGAACTTATAAACAACTTTATCAGTTTGGAGTTTAGCTTTTGATATTGTAACCTGTTTACAAATAATAAATAAAATAATGTAAAAATTTAATACTTTTTGCTTAGTTACAGAAATTTCTTAAGCTGCAATTTTAATTGTTTACACCCTCAAAGTTTATGTGGTTTATGGAGAATTGCTTTATATAGATTTTGTACTGTATTATTTATAACATGTTTTTTTTTTTAAATTTTGTAAATAACTTATAAAATAATTTGATTAATTTTTTAGGTAAAATTTCAAACGAGGTACAAGAAATTTTGGGTAATTTGATAAATAAATTAGTTTCTGATACTTCAAAGACTATGAAATCAAATATTTTGTTTGATAAAAATGAAAATGTTATTGTCTGCCATTCAAATCAATTTTTTAATGATGCATTTAAAGTAAGTGACGAAACTATGAAAGAGCCTGAATCATCTCAAAAATCTGATGAACTTAAAGAAACAGAAAAGTTACTTGCTAGTTGCAGAAAATGTTCTATTCGTTTGACTGATATTTCGCGAGGTAAAGTATAATTTATTTTATTGTTATATTATGGTAGTCTTTTTACATTAATTAGTATTTGTTTTTTATATTTAGCTGCAAATAATGTCACATTAAAATATTTACCATTTTGTTTCAATTTATCAGAAATTTTTTATTTGAACGTTTAAATTGGTTGTAAAATGTATGATTTACTATTTTATTAATTTACTTAATAAATTTAATTTTGAATGATTTTGTCCACCACTACATACAAACTACTTAAACATATATATGAAACAAATTTTGCATTGAAGTTTTTAAGTGCATATTTTAAATTGTTATTTGGCTACCTGTTCAAATATTCTGAGAGGCTCTAGAACTTTTGGCTATGAATTAAAATGAATAGTTGGAACCAGGGTTGGAACCAAATTGCCCACTTCTCACTATTTTTGATTTTTTCAAATTCTTTTGTATTCATTTTTTATTATAATTTATATAAAAAAAAAACACTTGAATAATGGACCAACAAATCCCGAGGCTAGGGCACCTTAGTCCACCTTATGGGGAATAATTGACCATGTAACAAAAATATATCCAGAAATAATATTGAAAGATAATGTTATCCAATTCAGAAATTTCTAAAGCATATAAAATTCAAAATGCATTTTTGAAGATTAATAAAATGAATCTTCAATTGTAAAATTGTATTGCAAATTGTATTCCCTACAATTATTTATTGAATTTTTTACGAAGCAAAATATTTGGTTTCTGTACTAGTTGACTTTCCATAATGAAACATGACCTAATATGGTTTTAAATAATTTATTACAAATTAAAGTTATCAAAGAGCCTATCAAACTATATCTGTATAATGAAAAGCCTAATATTTCCTGAACAAGATACTAAAAAAAAAAAAAAAAGATTCAGATCATTTTCATGCACTATTATTTAATTCGTATTTGTTGGATTGGATAAGAAAAATACTTTTATCAACATCGCATTACTCAAATTTAATTCACTATTGAACATTAAGACATTAAAAAACACAATATCAAAATCTGTAATTTAGTATGCCTGTTAAAATTTTGTTCTTAGTCTTAATTGCTTTAAAAAATTTTTATATTTGATAAAATTAATTTTTAAAAGAAATTAATACACAAGACATTTCTTGCATATTTTTTTAGGAGTGTAGGTTCTAGATATTCTGTTTAATATTTCTTTTTCATTTAATTATCTTTAGAACTGTATTCTAAACCTTGTTCCATTTCAACAAAAGGTAAAAAGCAATATTTCTGACAAATTTTATTATTTTATGTGAAAAAACTAGTTAAAAGTAATTTTTAAATAAAAATTTTAAATTAAATTAATAAAATGCATATTTTTAGACAAGATGAACTGATAATATAATGAAGTATTTTTTATGTAATATTTCTGGATATTTTATTCATCTTCATTTCAGAATAAGAAATGCTGATGTATTTCTGAATTGTTTTGATGATCCAGCTTATCCCATTTTTTAGTTTACAAAGGTATCCATTGTTTTAAATTGCACAAAAGATCATATTAGTTTTTTCTTCTTCTTATTTTAAACTTTAAATTGCTGCAAGTAAATATTAAAGATCTGACTTTGTAAAATAATTGCAATTTATTACTCTTTTCTCATAGAAACAAATTTTAGAAGGTGAAGTAGTAAAGTTCTAAAAATTATTTAGCAGTACTAAAATACAACTTATTTGAACAAAAAATGTTCCATTTGAACTATACCATATGATTTTTTTCTTAGGTTTTGTAGTATTAGCGGGGTGCAGTATACTAATAGAAAAAACAAACACAAATATCATGTAACATTTAAATTATTGTGCCTGAGCCAACGTTCCCCTAGATCCAACCTACCCCATCTATATACATTAGACTGATCTACAGCATTACTTTATTAGAAGACATTAGACCAAAATGCTTAAAAAAAATGACCATTAACAAATTGTAGCACTGAAAAAAAAGTTTGCAATTTGGTAAGAAGTAAAATGTTTCAGGAATATAATGTTGGTAAGAATATAATGCTGGAATATTATTATCCAAATGCCTAACTTGCTTTCTCGGAATTTTCAGAGTGGAAAAAAAGAAAATATAATGGAAAGAAAATATATTATCTACCACATTTTAAAGGTGTTAGGCTGAAGTCAGAAAATGAGGTTAAAAACTATTGTAAAAAGCAGAATACAGCATTCCCACATTATTTGTTTTCATCTAAGCAAAGGAATAATAAAGACTGAATTTAAGGTAACTATTTGTTTGTAAAAATGACGATTAGTTGGAATATAATTAAGATTTTAAAATGTACTTAAGAATATTTAAGTACCTAATATTATGATGCACCCTGAACATAAATACTGAAGAGTGAAAACTTATAAATTACAGTGATTCTGCCTACATGATATAGTGCATCAAATACAACTAAAGTTCTAGTCGGGACAGGAAAAGAAAGTAGTGACTTTCCCTTGGACACACACTTTTTCCATTGGGTAAAAAACGAATTGGACAGAACTAGTGCAGCTGGTTTATTTAGTTCTTGTAAGCAAAATGAATTTTTTTTTTCTCAATTATTATTATACTGTCTATTAGATTTTTGGTGGAGAAGGTAGTTTGAGGCTATTTTGTTGTTTAATTTATTTTCTTTCTGAGAAAAAGAAATTTTTTACAATAGCTATAAAAATATTCAAATATCTTAAACTTTTGTTCTTTAAAAAATAAGTTGAATAGGTTGAGTTGTGCCGTAGGAATAAAAATGCCTTAAGTTTTATAGTTTTTTTTTTAGAATAAAAAAGAGTTCGGACTACTTTATAATAAAACAAACTTTTTCTTGTAATTTTATTTTTGTATATTTGCTTTCAAAAATTAATTTTAAAAAGTTATTTTTCTATTTAAAAGTAATTCTAATAAAAATTAATTTAATGAAAATACTGATTTCTTGTCTCGATTACTCTCCTTAAATATGCACAGAAAAATGTTTAACTATCAGGGTTCCCACGGTCCTTAAAAACTGCTTAATTTTTATTTTGGAAAATAAGGGCCCTTAAAAGTACTTAATTCTAGTGCAAGGTTTTAAAAAGTCCTTAATTTTTCAGTCTCACTATAGTTGATAGGAACAATTTTTCTGTTTAATTTTTTAAAACAAAAAGTCGTTCTTTTATCACCGAGAATTAGACCGCGTGTGAGAGGGCTATACGTAAGGGAAAGAAAGCATGTCCTTTCATTAATAATATTCTGCCTTTTGCTAAGACTGATACTCTATGCGGAGAATGAAGCATTGTAAAAGAAAAGAATAGAGTGTGGTCAAGGGAAATATTGCACATGGAATAGATAGTGCTTTTTGGAGGGGGGGGGGCAGTTCTAAGGGACCTAAATAGAAGACTCACACTGTCCTTTAAAATTAACAGAATTCAAGAAATTCAGTTCGACTGGTAACTCATCTGCTTATAGGAACGAAGTAAAATCCTACAAAAAGGAGTATCAGAATTTTTTTTTTAACTAGAATCCATTACGAAAACTATTTCCGAAAATCTTGAAGAATTAAATAAAATTGTATAATATATCACTGTGTAATAAATAACTGTTAATTAATCGAAAGCAGTGACATTAAAATTCATGATTGTACTAAAAATTAAGCAGATATGTTGTAATTAGGGTTTTATACCTGCCAACATTAGAGAAATAAAATAATGGACATCTTACTAGGGACATTTTTTAGACTAAGCGCAAAATTTTAATGCATCATCTTGTAAGTCAAAAAAAAATTCAAAATTGGAAGCACTTACATTTAACGAAGTAAAAAATATGTATATAAATCTTAATCTAAAGAAAGTTTTTTTAAACCATTATTTATAATTACTTAAACGATTTTATTTTATGACCGTCGTTGAACAGCCGACCCAATTTTGGATTTACGACTGCTCATGTTCAACTGTGTAGTCTTGTAATTTGAACCCAATCCAGGAGACAAGGGAACTCCAGGATCAAGTATAGGGTGAAATTTGCTTTTGTGGAAGACTTTTTGAGGGAACTAACCCGCATTGCATTACATGGAGAGGAAAACCACGAAAAACTCTCATGTTTAGCCTGACGGCAAGAGGACTCTAACCCATGATTCGTCTACCACTTAAGAAGTTTTTATTTAAACTATTAACACTCAACATACTGTAGTACTGGCAGTTGAAGAATAAAATAAGTATTTTTGCCATCATCGGATATTTCATCAAAAAAAATTTTTTTGATAAATTTCTTATATTTTGATAAATACGGGTAAACAGGAAATAATTGCAAAATACAGGAGTCTTTGTTAAAAAGCAGGAGACTTGGCAGATCTAGGTTTTTCATCAAAAACCTAGGGTCTATTGGGTTTTTGATAAAAGCTGAAGTTTTTTTAAAAAAAACTTTCAATTTTCATTCCTGAGTATTAAATAAAAATGCATGACTTGCTTCTAACAAGAAAGTTAAGTATTTGGTAACTATTAATAGCTTGTTTTTGTTGTAATGTAAATTTTTTTTAAAGTTTTAGATTGTTACGCTATCATTTTTTATTTCTTAAGGATAAGCAGATTATTACAAAAAAATTTAAATCTACTCAATTAAAAGATAACAAACTTTTTTTAATAATGTCTATTAGAATAAAATTCAAACTTAGATTTGAATAATAATTTATTCAGTTTAAATTGCAACTTAATATACTGTTTTTTTTTTCTTCTTAAGTTTTATTCAACTTTTGGTTACTTTAAAATTAGTTAATGTTTTTTTTAACATTATGTCAAGTTAATTCCTAATAACACGTTGCAAAAATCGCCTGGTCCTACTATGGCAAGCCCTGTTAATTAATACAATTATATTACAGGGTTGCCACTCCTCAGGGAGAACAGGGAAAACCTGGAAAATACAGGGAATTTAAAAATCACCTAAAATAACAGGGAAAATGCAGGGAATTTTGATTTTTTTCTTTACAAACTGAGAAAATACAGGGAATTTTGTTTTTACTTTAGTCTTTTAAAAAATGGTGACCACTCAAAGCCTAATCTATGGGATATTTAACCATGATATTTCAGCTATAATAAACTATTTCATTTACTATAGCATTATTTAAGTATGTTCAGCTGTTTTTCCAGCAATTAAAACTAATAAATATAGTTAGCCCAATATAGCTCACACAAGAGTGCAGTAATTGTTGTTTCTTCTTAACATATTGTGTATAATATGTACAGGGAAAACACAGGGAACTTTTTCTCCAGATTTGAGTGGCAACCCTGTATTAGTACTTACATTATTATAAAATTATTTTTTATTTATTTATTGATTTTCTTTTTTAAAAAAGTCAATAATTGGCACTGTTACTGGTGGTATATGTATATTTGATGATAAACAATTATACTATTTTTAGGGTCCTTAATTTTTCTAAAAAGTCCTTAATTTTTGCTTTGTTAAAAGAGTTGGAACCCTGACTATTGTATTTTTGAAACTGTATGAAAAAACTGTCCATTATAGGAACCAACTGTTGCGATTATGGGTATCAATAGTAAATGTCCAATTAAAAGAAAGAATTTTCAGTGAAGAGATAGCGATGAAATGCGGAATAGGGTATCTATTCACTTTTCTTTGATTCCCTTTTACTTCGACTGCCTTTGTTCCTCTAAATCGCTGAAATAAACCCTATGGACAGGTTCTGCTTTCTCTCACCTTGTGCATGCCAACAATGATGTGAAACTTTCACCGTAATAACTATACATTTGAATGCAATTTATAACTTATAAATACTGTAAGATACAATTAGTAAATATTAAGTATGATATCTTATAACATTTATTTCAAATAATTTAGCACAGTTATTGTGTCCCTTTCATATTTAAGCTTTAAATACAATAATGTAAAAATCAATTTAAATAAAAAGTTAGAAACCAAAAACAAAATTCTAGAATAATTTCGTTTTTGTTTCCTAACTTTTTATTTAAATTGTTTACGTAAGACAAATTTGGTTTTAGCGCTTTTCCATTTTGATTTATTATTTTAAAGTTTTCATTTTTCTTAAAATTTGCTTATATCAATCTCATACTTTGTTTGAGTGTAAAAATCAAATAAGTAGTGTAGTGAAAATACATTAAATATTTTGAAATCACTCAAAATTTTGATTTTTTTAAAACAAAATATAAGTAGCTGTAGTAATGTAACACTTATACTTAAAAGCATTCCTGTTCTCCACTTATCGATTTAGTCCAGTCTAAAATAACAATACCTAGTCTAAGCTTGGCCTTTTAACAAAATCAATATTTCTTGAGGTATTTTTTAATTTAATAATGGGAGAATTATTTTATTTCAAGAATTATGTGTTAGAATGCTTTATTTTCTCAGAAAAAATAAGCTTAATTTGTAATTTATTGTAAAATTTGTTAATTTTGTTTATCTACATTTGAATGTATGGTAGTTACAATAAATACTAAATTATTAGAAAATTTATAATGAATTTTAGCTTTTTGAAGATGATTTGTGTGCAACTATTTAATTATTATTATTATTTATTTTTAGATTCCAAGTGTTTTTCCTGAAATCTAGTCAACTACCTGATTGTGGAAAAGTAAATCCTTGTATGATTGTACCTTTTCTAAATTCTATTTTGTTAACTTTACTTTTCTTACTGTGCAATATTAATATTGAGCATTATACATATAAAAAGGGAAAATTTATTATTTGTCTTATTGGCAATACGTAAGGATGAGAGTTAAACGAAATGCTTTATAATCAGTGCAATATTGCATACATTTTTTTTAGTGCTTTCTAAATTTTACTTTATTTTCTTCAGTGATATCTATAACATCAGTTAAATGGCGAAAGTCTATTAAGAGATTTTTTTTTATATAATTAATTATATTCTATTTTATGGCAGGGTGTATAGTAACTTGAACAAACAGAAAAATTTCTAAGTAATATCTTATTATATTTCTTTAATCTTTCAATGCTAGTTTCATGACTTACTTTTGTAACTAGAGTGCATTGAATTTTTTTTAAAAGTTAAAACTGTAATTATGAGGTTAATATATTTTCAAGTTCAATACATATCCTTATTTAACTAAGTTATGATCGCTTTTCATTATTTCTTTACTGAGCTAAGTTACTTTTCTAAAAATCCTTATATTATAAAACTAGTATCTTAAACGTTTAATCCCAATTTTTGAAAAAGAAAAATGGTATAAGAATTTTTTTTGACAAACATTTATTTGTAAATAAATGCAGTTCTTAACCATTTAAAGTGACATTTAAAAAAAAAATTACTTTAGTAGTTTATTAGAAAAATATTAATTCCATTCAGTTTTGTTTTTCTTAAAGAGAGGCACTTAAGGTTAAAGAAACGTAAAATTATTTTCTGTCAGAGTTTTGCATGAAATTAAGTATATTTCATATAACAGTTATGTTTACTATGTTTATTCTATTGTTGTTTAAAATAAATTTTTGTTTAAGTTGCTCCATTATTTTCCTTATTGATACTAATGAAAGATCCAACAGGGAATAGATATTTTGCTATGTCTGTATATACATATATAACGATGCTTTCTAGCAAAATGACCCAAGTGAACATTTCCTGCAGCTATTACAAATCCTGTGACAAATCTCAACATTAGGCATTTCAGCTAAGAAAATATAATTCATCAATAGTTCAGCATGAAAAAGTATAATCTTAATTAGTCTACTAAAGTTTGAGGGGTATTCAACAATATTTTTCCAACATTATAAAAAAAATTTCTTTTTGTTTTACAGATCCATTGAGAATGTATGTAAATTTCATGTGGCATAATGTGCATAAGACAATAAAAAAAGTTAAGATAGGATATGTAATACTTTAATAACAAACAAAGCTTTTACATTGTAAATATTTCAAGCTTGACTCAGTTGTACCGTAAGATCTGTAAAATGGACGGATTTAGCATAGAATGACAATTTAACATTTTTTAAAGCAAAAGGCACTAACATTTAATCAATGAAGACTGGCATTTAGATACTCATAATTCGACAATGAATAACATATTCATATTGTTTACAAATTCAAAAGATATGAATAACAATTTTATACTGATTGTCCATAGACAATAATTCAACTGTTTTTAATTATTAAATTTATTTTTAATATTGCAACAACTTATTAGTTATTATCTTGACCTTAGTTTCTTAGTTCCTAAAACAAACAATTCAATTATATTATTAGTTCTGAGTATAATTATATTATTATTATATTGGAATTAATTTTTATGTCTTTGGAACATAAGCACATTTATCTCAAGAGCTTTTAAAAATAAGTACCTCATAATTATGTTTATAATTTGCAAGCTTTATCAATTATTACATAAAACGTGGAAAAGTCAAGTCCAATACTTTAAACAGTAGCACTATCTTAATAGATAAATTTAAAACTACAATGAACCACTTATTCTAATCAAAAATTGCTTGCATATGGATATATATACTGAGGAAAAAATTAAATTTTAACAAGGATATAAAAATACTTATACTAACTTTTAATTTTAAACAACAAAATCTAAAAGAAATCTATCAATATTTCAGAACGTTAAAATTAAAATTTTTTTCTCTCAGAATAAAGAATTATGTCCACATGATTTAAGACTTCAAAACAGTCAATATTACTCATTACACAAATTATTTATCAGAAGTGAGCAAAAATTTGAAGTCTATTCTACTGCTTCATGATGAAAAGTACTATTCTTGTAAAATTTTTAGCAGTTCTATTAATCATGTCATCGATAAAAACTAATATTTTTAATACACAATACAATCAAATAAATAAAAGTTTGGAATGTATAACAATTAAAATCACAAAACAACAAATATGTTTAAAAACACAGAAAAAAGAAACATTTTTAAAATCACAACCATGCCAAAGATTAAAACCTCAAGGCATTGTACTTCATATTCAACACTGTCTTGAAATGGCAGTAAAAATTAAAATCGAATACAATTGGTCCTGTTAACAAAAGAAAAAAATGAGCAATGGATATGTATAATACAACCTGAAAAAGTTATTTATAATTTAAGATAAGGTAATATTTAACTACTCATTCCCTTCACTAGTTGCTATACATGGAAATCATGAACTAAAAATATATAGAATAACAATATTATTAGTTAAAGTGCATAAACTGGCAATTATATCTAATTTGTAGAAAAAATAAGGAAACTGACAAGTTAAAGTTTGAAATTTCTTTATTTATAGCAATTTTATTTTGGAACTCGTGAGCCGTAACAGATGTACAGCGTGCAACTTTTGATCTGATGATCAGATCTTGAATGTTTTAAGACTCAATATTAATGGCTCAAAAGGAGCAATATGCAAATTATAATCTAACTCAAAAATGTACTCTCTCTGAATAAATATGCCATTCTTTTGACGAATTCGGATTTCTAAGCACAAAACAGAGTGGGTAGCCACAATCTGGGAAATATAAATCATTCTAAACGTTTGGTCAGGAGAGTTTTCCAAAATTTGGCCCCTTAATGTTAATTTTACTTTTTGCATATTTCACCATACCTCGAGGCTTTTTAGCAAATCGAAAATATTTCTAATTGTAAGGTATAAAATTTTTTACATGATTTTTAAAGAATGCAATTTTACATTATAAAATTTGAACAAAAGCAGTCAAATAGTTTCTGAGAAATCGAATTAAAAAATTTTCAACTATTAATAATATCAAATAATGTATAAAAAAAGAATTAATACTTCCCAACTATTTTTTGCAGGGAATTATTTTAAAATAAGTGAATTTTATAATTTTTCAATTTACTTAAAAGGTTCTCGAGATATGGCAAAATATAAAATTAACATTAAGGGGTCCAAACTATGGGAACCATACTTCCCAGATTGCAGCTGCTTTTGGGGGCCAATAAATCCGAATCCATAAAAAAAAAAGGTATGTTTATTCAGTGAAAGTACGTTTTTAAGTCGGATTTCGTAAATTAAAATAATGTTTGCACTAATTAATTTGAGATCACCCCTTTGAACCATTAAGATTTGTTGATTATTAGGTTAAAAGTTATCAGGGTTGGTATGTTTTGAACACTGTACATGTTAAATGGTTTAGCAAATTAAAATATTTGTAACAAGTGTACCAAATGTTACAACTTAATTATAAACAATTTTAAGTTATCTTATTTTTCTTAAGAACTACAGTTATCTAAAATGTTCAGAAAGAGGGATAATTTTTGCATGCAAGACCCACCTGAACTTTATATATATATAAATAATCATTTCATTATGTTTTCAAAAGACAAAGCTTTCTTTAATAAATATATATCTTGAAAGGTCGCAAACTTTTTCAAAGTTTAATATAGTTAAGCTATTATAAATATTAACTTAGATGTAATTGTACTTTAAAATAATAAGAGAAGAAACAGTATCTAGTCACACAGTGCAAAGAAAAAAAGTAAACTATGAAACTATTTATATAAAAATCTTTGGTATACAAAAATATTCATAACTAAAAATTTATATAAATAAAGTTTTTCAATTACTATAGACTTATTCTAACTTTAAATTATTGTCTTTCATAAATACTTTTCCACACTTTTGTACAATATATGTATATACCTTCACTTTCACTAAAAAAAAGTTTTCTGGAAGATTAACCATTTGGGCTGGAAAGAAGTGGCATGCATAACAAATACCCTTTGTCACAAAACCGCGAATGATGTGATGTACACGTCGGCAGGCAATTATCACAGAAAAAAAAGACGTTTATTGTCCATATCACAGAAATAAAAGTTTTTTCCAATTTCTATAAGGCATCGAACGCTAAACGCATTACAGTGATTCACAGTTATGGTACACACATCTGTGAATTTCTTAACAGCCCAAAAAAGTTTTCATTTTTCAGCCTAAACAGTAAAATTAAATTTTATAGTATTGATTGTAATAACTTGAACTATTTAGAAAATATTTGAAATAAAAAAATAATAATTTACCTCCAAGTTCAATATGCAGGTGCATTGTTAGATATTTTTTAGCACTGTTAGCAAACTAAAAACTAAATAAACCTTGTGAGTAGTATGATCACTACGTAAAGTGTTTCATTGTTTACAATTTCTTAAGTACCTTATTGCATTAATTTATTTAGGAAAAATGTATTGCTAGACATACATAAAATATTCCTAACACTAATATTAGTTTTGATAAATGCACAATATACATCTTTAGCTTTTGTGCAAACTGTAGTATAGTTAAAACAACCGTTCAAGAAGAAAACTAGATCAATGAATATAATTTTAAGATCAAACACTCTTGTTTGATAAAAATAAAACAATAAAAAATGGAATGAGAAATATGGATAGAAAAAAAATTAAAATGTAAATAAGCACTGGAAATCTATATATACACTTGTGTAAAAAAAAAAAAATCACACTTTCATTAAAATAAATTGTCCAAACAAACCTAAATACATTTGGCTAACATAAGTTTGATATTGATACCAAGATCAGAACTGAATAAAAAAAAAATGATATGAATATAATGAAATAAATTAGAAGTAATGTAGGTTTATAAAGATGAGTACAATCTTTTGTTCATTAATTACATTAAATATCTTTGGAAAAAATTCATCATACAGCAACAATATTGTATTATACCTTCTGTCAGCATTCGTAAAAATGACCTTTAAAGGATACAGGAACAGGAGGACGCCTTTGTTGCGTTAAACAGATCTCAATCGAGCAAAAACATCAGATTTCTCTTTACATACATTGCTCCTCAACAACATTTTACCTTTTTTTTCTGGACAATTTTTTTATTAGATGAAAGACGGAAGGAATCATTTGGAATTGTTTCTATTTCATAATCATCTTCTTGCATATGAATGATTTTTTCTACCAAATATTTGATAGCCTCACCTGGAACAAAAAAAGTTGCAGATTATAAAATAACCAATACTTTGTATAATAACCAAAAGTTTTGTGTGTAAAAAAAAAAAAAAAACGGAATTTTCATGAAAATAATATTTCAATAGAGAAATAAATTCTACAATCTTAATTTACTCTTTAAAAAATATTTCTGCAGCCTTAGATACCTTCTAACAAAAGCACTTACAGCTTTTTCAAATATAATAGAATTCCAATCTAATAATTCAAATTTCAGTAATCAAAGAGAAGACAGAAATATTAGATTCTCTTATTTTTCATTGCAGCTAATTACACTGGGAAGCAAATTTTTTGTTGCATTTATACACATACTTGATCTTGCCTAATTCGGGTAGGGTGAGGAGGAGTTTTAAATCTGAAATTAGTTTTGCTCTTAATGCTAAAGAAATTTTTTTTTGAAAAATAATATTTTTATCCTTTTTTTTTTTGGTTAAATTTTTCCAAAACGTTTTATGTAAAACATAGGGTTGCATAAATGTTGCGGTGCCTGACTGTGGCTGAGGGTTCGAATCCCGCTCAGGGCATGGATGTTTCCCTCTCTGTGGGTTGTTCTCTGTTGTGTGAATGTGGCCCATCCTATGAATGGGTATCTGTGGCAGTGTGGCGTGGGTAATGTTGCTCGCCTCTGTGACTTTGGTTCACAGGTGCCCACTGGGTAATGTTAAAATGAGCATCACTTTCGAGGTGAAGAACAGAAGTTCACTGCCTGCCGTTAAAAAAATAAATAATAATAAATGTTGCTGTAAGCTTCTAGGAATTTGGGAAAACATCAGAATTAAAACTGCATAGGAACCCATGCCCGAAACCCGCTAGGGGTGCTTCCATTTAATAAATTTGTGCTTCTGAACAGGTCATAATAGCTGTGTCTGACGACATTTCTGGGCATGGGTTCCAATGCAGTTTTAATCCTGATGATCCCCTACTCCCCTAGAAATTCGTTTACACAATTATGTAAACCTATGTTATGTATAACGATTTTTAATTTGCACATTTTGACAAAAAATGTCAGTTAAAAAACTACAGTTTGGAAAGAAAAACAGATTTAAGATGTGAATTCAGAGATACGAAAGTAACTAAGATGTCTTAGAAAAAATAACTCTCACTAGAAAAAAAACAAATTTTTTTCCTCCCATGTATAATTTATGACGTGCAAAAAATTAAAAAAATGTTTCTCTAAAAAACTAAGATCTTTAAGTAGATGCACATTGTCTAGGTATTTAGCATGTTGTATTGAAGAATAATTTTATATAGATTGGAGAAGTGTATTTTGTGAACGCACATTATTTTTTGCCACTTTGAACAATGGTTATTTTAAAACAAATGCAATTTCATGATAGGAAGACTAGCTTAAACGAAGCTTTCAGTAATCCAGTTGATGTTGGACACTATTGAAGACTTGACTGTATTTTTTAAGTCAAAAATTGATGATAATTTTTGAAAAGCATTCAAAAGCTCAAGTATTGTATTAAGTGTACAAGGATAGAAATGATTTAAATACAGTTATACATAAAATCAAATATTTGAAATTTTTTTAATAACTTTTTTATGTGGACAGAATCCTTTTTTTTTCTCTTTAGTCTATGTGTCTGTGTTAACAATACGGATATTTCATTGATATACTAATTTCTCAGATGATTATAAATTTACATGATTTATGTAAAAAGTTAGTTGCTAAAAGCATGAAATAAAGCAGGAAAAAAAACAGGAGTTAAAAAAAATTACAAAAGTTGATATGTCAAAAAAATACATTACACATTATTTATCTTTCCACCTTTCAAAATTAAAAACCTATTAAATGCTTACTAAGGGGCTATTAAATGTTATTTTTCTTACCAACATTAATATTTTCTTTTGCAGAAGTAAAAAACCAAGCTAGAATATTATTCTTTTTGCAGAATTGAGTCAGATAATCAGTAGGGATAGTAACACCAGGAATATCACACTGAAAAATAAAACAAGATTATATTAATATTAATAGTCATAATTAACAAGAGAACAATGTCAACTGTTCAGCCAGGCTTCACAGAAAAATTAAGCCTGCATTAACAATTATAAATAATTATTTATAAAATTACGGTGTTATTCATCAGTATTTAACTAGTGAGCCTTATACAGATCAAAATTGTTAAACATAACTAACATTTTTGTATAAAAAAATTTCTTATTTGAAATTTCTTAAAAAACAATAACTTCAAAATTTGATTGTAAAATATTCTGTACGTAACATAAATGCAGTAGAATGACTTATAGCTTAAATTAAAAACTTGTACTTCAAGTCTTAATAGTAATTACTTTTTAAGCTTATGAATTTAAATATGCCTTATCTGCTTGATTACAGTAACAGAAAATTGAAGTAGGAACAAAAGTTATTTAGAATGAAAGTTTTATATAAACATTATTTTTTTTATTAAAAGAACCAGGGTTCATGCTCTACTATAAAAATAAAATTCAAGTACTTTTCAAGGACTTTTTAAGACTTATTATAAAATTCTCAAGGACTTAAATTTTAGTAAAGATAGACTAAAATTTAACATTTTAAACTAAAATGTTTTGACGATAAATGTTAGTCAATAATAGCAGTACTGAAAAATAAGACTTCCATTGCTCTCTCTTGATTTCGGAAAGTGATCTAAGTATATATATAAAAAAAAAATATAAAAAAACAAGGGTGATTGGCATCAAGTCGAGAATAAAATTCATGATGCATAAAAACGTCAGGTTTGAATTTTGCATTAAGGCTTATTTTAAGCTAGGTATACAAAGTCAGAATAAGCAAAGATTCGGGCAGAAGTAGGTAGGTAGGGGGGAATGTTCTATATAATACTGTGATATCAATTAGATATTTAAAAACAACTCTGCCGGGAGACTTTTATTTAATATTTAAAGTGGCAGAAGCATTTAGACAGTGAAATTTAAATTGTTCTTAAATATAATTTTGAAATTTCGACCACTTTTCTATTTAAGAAAATTAATCAATTACTGGATGTTGTGGCTTGATTATCATTTTAAATTTATTACCAGTCAACCATTTTAAATTGAAACAGTTGCCAACTTTCACCTCAATACCTTCTGATAGATTCTTAGTAACAATTTTGGTCACTGACTTTTTTTATTAACCACTCATACTTGAATTAACTTTTTTTCAGTAGCGTCGATCATACACACTTGACATGGTCACNCTTCCCATGTATAATTTAAGACGTGCAAAAAATTTAAAAAATTTTTCTCTAAAAAACTAAGATCTTTAAATAGATGCACATTGTCTAGGTATTTAGCATGTTGCATTGAAGAATAATTTTATATATATTGGAGAAGTGTATTTTGTGAATGCACATTATTTTTTGCTGCCTTGAACAATGGTTATTTTAAAACAAATGCAATTTCATGATAGGAAGATTAGTTTAAACGAAGCTTTCAGTAATCCAGTTGATGTTGGGCACTATTGAAGACTTGACTGTATTTTTAAGTCTGAAATTGATGATAATTTTTGAAAAGCATTCAAAAGCTCAAGTATTGCATTAATTGTACAAAGATAGAAATGATTTAAATACAGTTATACATAAAATCAAATATTTGAATTTTTTTTAATAATTTTTTTATGTGGATAGAATCCTTTTTTTTTCTCTCTTTAGTCTATGTGTCTGTGTTAACGATACGGATATTTCATTGATATACTAATTTCTCAGATGATTATAAATTCACATAATTTATGTTAAAAGTTAGCTGCTAAAAGCATGAAATAAAGCAGAAAAAAAAAAAACAGGAGTTAAAATTACAAAAGCTGATATGTCAAAAAAATACATTACACATTACTTATCTTTCCACCTTTCAAAATTAAAAACCTATTAAATGCGTACTAAAGGGCTATTAAATGTTATTTTTCTTACCAACATTAATATTTTCTTTTGCAGAAGTAAAAAACCAAGCTAGAATATTATTCTTTTTGCAGAATTGAGTCAGATAATCAGTAGGGATAGTAACACCAGGAATATCACACTAAAAAATAAAACAAGATCATATTAATAAGAGAATAATGCCAACTGTTCAACCAGGCTTCACAGAAAAATTAAGCCTACATTAACAATTATAAATAATTATTTATAAAATTACGGTGTTATTCATCAGTATTTAACTAGTGATTCTTACACAGGTCGAAACTGTTAAACATAACTAAAAATTTTTTATAAAAAATAAATAAAAAATTTCTTTTTTGCAATTTTTTAAAAAACAATGACTTTAAAGTTTGATTGTAAAATATTCTGTATGTAACACAAATACAGTGGAATGACTTATAGTTTAAATTAAAAACTTGAACTTAAAAGTAATTACTTATTAAGCTTATGAAATTAAATATGCCTTATCTGCTTGATTACAGTAGTAGAAAATTGAAGTAGAAACAAAAGTTATTAAAAATGAAATTTTTATAAAAAACATAATTTATTTTAATTAATAGAACTCATATTAATCATGAAAATATAATTTAAATAATTAGAAGATAAAGATTCTAAGCAGCATTTTAGTGAAGATGTGTTAAAATTAGCTTCAAATACAAAGTATTAGTACTTTAACTGAATCACAAAATTTCTGTTAAACAACCCTACATTTTTTTAAAATTTTTTTTTTATGTAATTGTTTAAAAATACAATGAATTGCGGGATTTCAATTGATCTAAAAATAAAATATCAAACGGCGGATATATAATAATACAATTAAAGTTTTAAGTGTGTTAATTATTTCCTGAATTATTGATTTTTGACCATTAAACACACTTATTGATCACAAATCCCAAGTGTGTGGCTCAAAATTTTAACCCTAACCACAAAAAAACAAAAAGATTAAAATATAATATATTAACTGCTTACTTTATTAGCAAGAAGTATTACTGGTAAAGGTTTTCCATTAGGAGTAGCAACTTTTTCTTTTATATCATCATGCCACTAGATAAAGAGGAAAACAGAGATTGTGGTGTTATATTTAGTTTTAATATACCTCAAACATATTTTACAACAATGTTTTACAAATAACAGAGTTAACATTGACCAGGATGACGTCAGACTTAGGCAATATACAATTAAAAACAGAAAATATGAGAAACAAAAGTGTATGACTGGTTTAGTGAACTCCAAAAACAAAAATGAGAAAAGAACAATAATAACATTTACAGTATGAGAATCTTGTGAAAAACAAAACCGTAATCAATGACTCAATGACATACCCCTCTAAGTAGCATCTAACAGTGAAGCAAGAGAGAGAGAGAGACTACTCACCCACACGAGATAATATTAGACATTGTGTACAATTACCCTGAGGGTCAACCATTTAACGTACAATTTAACATATTTTTCATACTTTTTAATTATTTTGATTTTGTATTTAGTTAGATCAAAATAAGTGAAAAATATATTATATTTATTTAATATACTATATTTAGTATTTTAATAACTTATGATTATTAAATTTAGCATCAACAACGGTGTCTTATTCTGAATTAACCCTTTGATGGTTATAAACGGGTTCAGCTCGCAATTTAATTGTGCTTCTATTAAGAAGTACGATTCAATTGCGAGCCGAACCGTTCGTCCGAGCTCGTTTGCGCGCATTAGCGAGCAAACGAGTTCCGCTGGGGAGTAAGATTTCAACCGAAATGGTTAGAAACGATAGCACTAGCCACGCAGTGAAAATTTTCTCCAATGTACGCTGACGAGCTGAGCTCGTTCACCGTTATTATTCTGTATTGATTCTGTTACAAACAAATCCTACTCGCGAAATTTAGTTAGTTTTACTGTCTACAGATGGCAGTATTGGTTCCATGAATTTCTTTTCATAATGAAGGGGGATTTTCTTTTTTAACCTTGTTCTTTTTATGCATATTTGGCGAGTTTTTTAGGGTGTTTGTGAAGTAAAATGGCTCAAAAGAGAAAGTTAGATAATTATGATAAGAAAGCTTATCAAGTTTTTAGTCTGATGAAGACTTTGTTCACAGTATATCAAGCTCAGAAGATGATTCAAGGAAGATTTTTCGAGTGTTCGACAGTAGTGTAAAATTGATTCAAGTTCTCACGCTGCTAGCCGATTTAGTTTTACTGTTGATGTGGGCATGAAAGCTTGCGTTACAAATATTTCTAATCCACTAGATTATTTCGAGCTGCTTTTTACTGATGAGATTGTAAATCATATTGTTACTGAAACCAACATTTTTGCTGCTGAAAATTTAAATAAATTAAAGAGCGAAGAACATTACCAAATTCATCATTGGAATGAAACTAATGCAAATGAAGTGAGAGTATTTTTTGCAACATTAATTTTGCATTGTAATGACCCATTATGTGCAATTCCATGTTTAAAGTATATTACACACAAAAATATTTTTAGGTAATTACTGCATTTAAATGCTTCATTAAGTTTTACATTAGTTGTATTTATTTAGTGCTTTTAGAATTAATTATTACTTGTATAATTGATTATAATCATTTATAATTTACTATTTAATAATTATAATTTATTAATATTTTTAAAGTACGTAAAAACTGTTATTTGTTATTTATGTACTACAAATACTTTACGAAATTCTTAAAATTTGTGAGTCGAGCTATCTACGGCATTGCCAGAGAAGGGTGACATTTTCGGAAGAACCGCGGGGGAAAACAGCTGCCACTTTCGACTACTGTTTACTCGTAATACTGCACGAATTAAGTAAACAAAAACTGCTCATTTCCCTAACCGCCAAAGGGTTAAGGGTAAAACTTTCCAAACACAGCTTACTTCCAAACAATATTTTTTTCAAATTTGCACTTATTTAGATCTAAGAGAAACAGTTATTCATCAATGAAATTTCTTTAATTTACAAAATTAATTCTTGATACATTTTTAAATATGAATGATAAAAATTTATATTTTTACCATTCTATATTTCACTACAAATATAATTCCAATAATCTATGAGATTTTTTTCAGTAACTACTAGACTGTTTTCAATAATTAAAAAATACCAAAATATATTTTGGCTTATAATTAAAGTGCCAAAAAAATATATATATTTATAAAAAGAGACCTGTATTATCTGCTTAAAAGGGTTAAAAAAATTCTTTCTCAAGAGAAATGAATTTTGAGATTCCAAGTAATATTTAGTTAATTTTGTTTACATTAAGGAAAAAGCTTTGTAATTATTAACATTAAATANTCTTCTACATAAGTACAATACTATGTCTTTGATGATAAAATACTATGTCTTTGATGATAATATATTATGTCTTTGTGCTTGAACATTGTGTTCACTGGCGAGCAAGCGCAGCGAGCCATGGTTCACGACGTGAACCACATAGGATTGCGTAGCAATTCTCGGGGGTTGGCGAGCGTTAGCGAGCAGGGGGTGGAGCCTCCTAGTATTCAGTATTTTAATAAGTTATTAAATTTAGCATCAACAACGGTGTCTTGTTCTGAATTAACCCTTTGATGGTTATAAACAGATTCAGCTCGTAATTGAATCATGCTTCATAATGCGCGCAAACGAGTTCCGCTCGGGAGTAAGATTTCGACCGAAATGGTTAGAAACGAGCACTACTCACATAGTGAAATTTTTCCCCAATGCACGCTGACGAGTTGAGCTCGTTCACCATTATTATTCTGCATTGATTCTGTTACAAACAAATCTTACTCGCGAAATTTAGTTTGTTTTACTATCTACAGATGGCAATAAGGGTTCCATGAATTTCTTTTCATAATGAAGGGGGGATTTTCTTTCACAGTATATCAAGCTCAGAAGATGATTCAAGGAAGATTTTTCGAGTGTTTGACAGTAGTGTAAAATTGATTCAAGTTCTCACGCTCCTAGCCGATTTAGTTTTACTGGTGATGTGGGCATGAAAGCTTGCGTTACAAATATTTCTGATCCACTAAAGTATTTCGAGGTGTTTTTTACTGATGAGATTGTAAATCATATAGTTGTAAATCTAGACTGTTTCCCATAATTAAAAAATACCAAAATATATTTTGGCTTATAATTAAAGTGCCAAAAAAAAAATATATATATATATATATAAAAAGAGACACCTGTATTATCTGCTTAAAAGGGCTAAAAAAAATTCTTTCTCAAGAGAAATGAATTTTGAGATTCCAAGTAATATTTAGTTTATTTTGTTTACATTAAGGAAAAAGCTTTGTAATTATTAACATTAAATAACATAAAGGAAAAATTTGCAAAAAAATAATGAAGCTGCTCTAAATCATGCGTCAAAAAAAAAGACTAGATGAATATATTAGATTTGACACATGAGAAATTAAAACATTATACAAATTGTAACAGATACAATGAGAAAAAATAGGAGTAATAAAACAACATTTATCTAAAGAATTATAACAAATAAAATGGTAGAAAAATTTTGATTTACTTACTTTTATCACTGAATCCAATGTGGCTAATCTAAAATAAGGAGAAGAAAAAATAAGAGAAATAGAAACAAACCATCTTACTTTACCTATAACTTTAATTAAAAATCAAATTTTTGATTGGAACAAAAGTTTGGTTCAATATTTTTAATTAGTGACAAAGAGTGTTAATTGATTACCAGGCAGTAGAACTGATATAAAAAAGAACTTACTATCAAAAAGAAGAATTTAACTAAATTGTGATTAGCATATGTCAGAAAATAAGTAAGACTAACTTGTATAACATATTCTTTTATAAAATGCTCCACTAAAGTTAATTAAAAATTATTGAATTATATACAGTACATATAAAATGATGAAACAATTTAAACTTTGTCTAAGCTTTAGTACTTCTTCATCACTGACAAGAAATAAATGTTTTTAAAAAATAAATAACTATGTTTAAATGCACTTACTTTAGGATAAACTTGAAGTTCAAGAGTTTTTGACCTCAAGCTATCCTTTCAGGGTTCCTACAATTATTATGAACTAATTTTCTAGCAATAAAATGTAAAATTTAAGCCTTGACACTCCAACTACCATAGTACAACTGTAGTAGCAGAGTTATACTACAGTAGCAGATTTATTATAGAAGTACTATTTCCAAATGTCAAGGACAACTTTTTTTATGTTTAAAATAAGGTCACACATTATTGGAAATTGAGAAGTAAAATAAAAGCAAATTTAATTCTTACTTTATAGACAACATATACAGTAACCACATTATGAAAAAGGGAACCATAAAATTATATAGGTAAAATTTTAAGTAATGAGAACAAAGAACAAGAAAGGTACCTGTAATATCACACTACTGATTTGCAAAAGTATATAATTTCTTACTTTATTTCACTCTCGTTATAGAGCTTTACAAAAATTAATCTTCTATTATGGGGAAACCTCTCTTATTGCACTTGAAATGTAATAAAAACAAGCTAGCTTTTGAATATTTCAAAATTATACTTAATGAAATAGAATGTTCAGTAAATTATAATTGGTTTGATAAAAAAGCTCAAAAAAAGTTTGAACTATTCTTAATATTTTTATTGTAAAATATATAAAAATTTTCCAAACTAAAAATTATCTACTTACATAAATTCTTGTATATTATTTACATACAGCAATCTAATTAGCAAATTATTACTGAAACCTTTTTGTAAGTATAAAAAATGAAACTATGAGAAAAAAATAATACATACCTAATTAAATCAAAAACTATTATAGCTGCTTGCCTAAAAAAGGTAAAAGAAAATAAATTTCACAGGTTTAAAACTTTAGATGGGACTATTAAAAATAGGAGATAAGTGAAAGGAAAACATTAACTTACGAATGCCTATAATAGGTTCCTGTCATATATCCAAATCGCTCATGGCCAGCTATGTCCCTTAAATAAATAAAAGTAATAATGAAATATTTAAATAATCATAATATTCATAAATTTTATTTTCAAAGTAATTTTTGCAACATTGAGGTATACAACCTGTGGCTCAGGTACCTAAGTGGGCTCTCATATACCTAATGTGTGGCCTTTTGTTTTTGCAATCAAAAATTGCAAAAACCTACACAACTAGCATAAGAAATTTTAAAACAACTTTTCTAAGTTATTTAAATAAACTTTGAAAAAACACTGAAGTTAAAATTCTAAAATGTAGAGGTCAAAAAAATGTTTAAAAAAAATAAATTGAAATTTTGTACACTTTTTTAAAGAAAACTTTCTTTGACTAAAACACATTAAGAGCACACGCAAATCAGATTTGTTTAAAAATTGAAAACAATAATTCAACTGTATATAAATGGCTTAAAAATAACATAACTTATTTCTCTACAGTGAATCTCAGAGAAAATTTAAAACTTAACTAATTTAATTTTTTAAAACAAAATTTCCCATAAGAATTGAGTTATCTAATCTTTTATTCTGTCAAAATTAATTTTTGATATTAAATGCAAAAGATAATAAAGCTGTTACTATATTGGGAAACAGTTATCCTTCAATATTGTTTCTGAATATAATTTAATTATAAGATTTGACTCGTCCCATGTGATGGATCAAGTTACTTCAGCTTCGGGCCATGTTGATTCATTCTTCAAAGTTTTTTTTTTTTTAATTATTATTAAAAAAAATACCAACTGAGCATTTTGAAAAAAAAAAAAAATTCCTGAAAGGGTGAAAGTAAGTGACTTATCTTATAAAAAAAGTCAAGCTATATGGTTAATTTTTTAGCGAAATATGAATTAAAAAGTGGGCCAATTAACCTGGGTTGACTCCCTAAATAATTTGCTGTACTTTGCTGTTTAATTTTTTAAACAAATTGATAATGTTCTTATTACATTCAATAACATTTAAGTTATTTATATAAAAATAATTTGTGGCCTTTTACAGGGACCCTTTTCCGAAAAATTTGAAAATTCTTAATGCACTAGATTAATTTTTTTTCTTTCTAAAAGAGTGTGCTGAATATTTTCCTTTTTTTTTAAACTGAAAATTTCTTTTAATAGATCCTTAAATAGTAAAATCATTTTTGTCAAGAAAAATAAAGGCTAAGGTAATAAAAGTAAAAAAAAGTACAATAATTTAAAATAGTGATTAAAATACTCATGTATGATGATCTTACTTCAGCAACAATATTTACCTTGTTGTTGTAGAAATAAAATACTTTGTTTACGGTATTTTGACTTTTAATGGTTGAAATGAATATTTATTATCACTGTTATTTAAGACAAAAAGGTTAATTTTTAATTCGTAAGTTTAATTATATTTATTTATGTAAAAGTAATAGAGTGGCATAGATTTTTTCTGAACATGAATGGCAAAATTTTAGAAATCTTAGATTCTAATCTTAATCTTTTAAAATATACTAAGAGATTCACTGAATAAAAGTTACAGATAGTTATTGTGCATGGAAGTACAAAGTTTTTTTTAAATTTTTCTTTTTTAACTATAATATACACAATTTTGGTACTAAAAAAAACTTTATTTATATTCATTTTGAAAAGTCTTGAAAGTTTTCTGACTCCCATTAGTTAACTTCTTCATATCAATTAATAAATTCACCCCTATTAATAAAATTCACTAACAGTTATGAGAAGTCAAGTTATATTACACTTTAGTTATTCAAACAGTGGGTACAGTTTCAAATTAATTAAAAAGAAACAGAGGATGCAACAATATATTTTACCTAATTATGAAATAGAAAAACATTGTTCATCAGGTAATATAGATTATAATAAATGCTACAATTTACAAAATCCGCCACAGATTTTAAAATATTTTCATTCTATCAAAACATAACATTGCATTTTGATCTAATAAAAATATAGATTTATTAGGAGATTCATTTTTATAAATATATGAATTCTTTAATTAAAAGCCTCTTAATTTTAATTCACAATTTACTAAATTGTATGACACACTAGTTTTTAAAACCTACATGGTATATTTTATTTGAAAATACATGCAATTATCTTTAGAGGCTAATTTTTATAAATATATGAACTTTAAAATTAAAAACAGCAAACAAAACTTAAACTATTTTCACAGTAGTTTTAAACAATTAGCTAATAAGAACTCAAGAAATATTTCAGCACTATATGAACCAACAACTGTTAAATGACCTAACCTTTATAATTAATTAGAAAATAATAATCCGGAATTAGACAATAGAAAAAACTAAATGTTATAAAATTACCATAATTGAAGAGTAACTATAGTTTTTTCATCCCACTGCAATCCCTTGATAGCAAAATCCACACCAATAGTTATTTTATAATTTTGAGTAAATGTGCCTGTTGAAAAAACAATGAACATATGAATCAGATAATAATAAACAATTGTGGCAGCAGAAAAAAATTGTAATATCAAAATTAATTTGATTTAAATGAAACTGCTCCAACATGCAATTTTTGCCAGGAACCTCTTACAGTGAAACATTTCTTGACACAGTGTTTAAAATTTAAATTAAAAAGAAGCCAGTACTTTAACTGCTACTTTCCAACTTTATTGTATTTACTTGGAGACACACCTCATCCTAACTTAATGCTTTAGCTTATAGACATCGGATTTTATAATTCAATTTAGTTCAAATTCTAATAAATTAACCAGTCTTATCTAATTATATTGATTTTAGCTAAATTACTTCAGTTGCTTTGATTGTAACCAAGATTCTTCAAATTAACCTCGTGTTTGGATTTAAACTAAGTTACATAGATTTTAACCTTGTGTTTTAATTTTAACTATGTTATATGCCCTTTTAACCTAGTTTTAGGCACGGTATAACCAAACTATGGCTCTTGCGCCAAAAATTAACAACACTCACTCACTCAAATGAAAAGAATCATAAAAATGTATAATTTGTATGTTAAATCCCTCCTATTTTAAAAATGTCCATTGCTGTCATGATGACTTCATAATATTAATGGTCAAAATTAAATGAAACACAAAGTTTCAAACAGGTACACAGAATTTCTATTCAGGTCACCTTACTATTAAATGGCAAAGGGCATCATATTTTTTAACCATGATGTACCATTGGTATATATAAACATTATTAAATATTAGTATAAATAAATATAATAATAAATATGAATATCATATTAACTTTATTTGATGAAATTTAAAAAGGTTCTAGGGAGAGCGGATGAAGCTAGGTGGGGTCATACTCCCTAACTGATAATTTTATTAGACGAATTTCCAGAAAAATATTATTTAAGTTGAATATATTATTTAAGTTGAATATATTATTTAAGTTGAATATATTATTTAAATTGAATATATATTATTTAAGTTGAATATATATTATTTAAGTTGAATATATTATTTAAGTTGAATATATATTATTTAAGTTGAATATATATTATTTAAGTTGAATTGACAACACAAACTTGTAGACTTATTGCTGGAAAATGTAAGTATCAGTAGACTGTTACGTGACACAATTAAAAAATTCACCAATCATTCTTACTACCACTAATAGAACTTAAGAGCATCATAAAAATAAAAACAATTATTTAATTCACAAAAGGAAAATGTGAATTCTAGGGGTTAAATTATTCATTTATCTTTAATTTCCAATGAATTTATCTTTAACTGTTCTGTCAAATTTGGAAATTTGTGTATTTGATGTATGTCAAATTGTAACAAGCACATTCTGTAACAGAAACAATTGATGTTAAAATTGCAACAGTTGAATTGACTCTGATATAACAATGGGCAAAGTGCCATCTTTGAAAAATATTTTCAACTGGACAATGTGCAGAAGTGTTGTTATGCGTGAAAATTAAGGTATGCAAGATTAAATACAGGAAAATAATATGGTTTCATTCCAGTGCAATCAGTTAAATATTACATGCGGGGAGTAAACACATTAGAGCAGGGGTCCCCAACCTTTTTGTACCTAAGAGCAAATACCAGAATATCGGTCAAATGGCGGGCACCATTTATTTTTTCAAGATAAATTTATAGTTGGTAGACATAGGCAATAATACACACTACATATAGTGCACAAAAAATTTAATTTTTAAAATTAATTTAACATATGAATATAATTAGTATTAATATTCTTGTGTAAAATAAATGATTACTAAATTGCCTTCAAAACATACGAAGTATAAGAATTATTTATAAAATACAGTTAATGTGGTGTTTGGTATGGCATTTCTATGGCCAGCGCTATATAATTGGGAGAATATGATGCTCTTTTAAAGAATGGAGTTTATTCCTTCAACTATATTCCAGAATTTCTCATGTGATATAATAGTTTTGAGGATAATGTCATTCTGAAGATCCACAATTTCTATCTCCAATTCTTCTCGCTTTACTTGAAGAAATTCTGAAATGTATGTTGCTATTACGGTTACGTTTATTTGGTTGATAAAAGGATTAACAAAAAAGTTATCAAAAGCTCGATGATATTAAATTGTTGAAAGCGCTTTTTAAATTGATCATGAAGCAATTTGAGGTTGATGACAAATGTTAATAAGTCAATTTCCCTGTCACCTATCATTTTTTTCATGACTATCAAGTACTCATTTCTATCAAGTACTTTGCCTTTACTGAGCCAGCGTACCTCAGTATGTATTTGCATAGCATTTATCGCGAAAATGGAAAACTGAAATATTTTATCGTTGGGCACAAGCAGCGGGCTAACCTAGATCGATCAACGGGTGCCATGGTTCCCGCGGGCATAGGGTTGGGGACACCTGCATTAGAGTTTCTAGTTTAAGCAGGCTGAAGAAGACTTTTTTTATTTTATTTTCTAAACTATATTAAATAGTTTTTTCCCCTTCATTAAATGTTAAATAAGAAGCAGCATATCATAGATGAAATATACTACCATTCATGCTGATACTTAATACCAAAATGTTTTCTAAAGCTTATAGAGGTTAAGAAAATATTATAAAATAGCATTTTCATCTAACCGAATTTGTAACAAAAACCTTCTCTTTGAGTGACATTTTTAAATCCTTTTGAGAGAGAAAAAAGAGTTAAACTGTTTTTTTGAGTTGAAAAGGAAGAAGCTTGGAGAAACAAAGATTTGTAACAAAAATGTTCTCTTCCAGTAATATTTCTGAAAACCTTTGAAATAAATAAACAGTAAAACTTAATTGCTTAATGAAAAGTAACAAGAACAAAGAAAAATTTGTAACAAAAATATTCCCTTATAGCTATATTTCTGAATACATTTGAAAAAAAAAAAATTGAGTAATAAGACTGGTTTGTTAAGTGAAAAAGTAACGAGGTTTCGAAGCAAACAGTGGAAATTTTCTTCAACACATAGATATAGCACTTGTAATCGTAACATTTGCTTCAAACAATTTCATTCAGTAAAAATAGACTAAATGTTACAAAATATTTAGAAAAATCATAATAATCACCTTCAGTATAACGTCTAATAACGGCGGTTTTACCTAAAAAATGAAGAAGATAACTTTGAAATAAACATATTTTAAACAATATAATCAAAATGAAAAAATATATATGAAGTTAAAGAGAATTTTTCTTATTGAAACTGGAACTTACTTAAGTTTTTTTTNAACAGTTGAATTGACTCTGATATAACAATGGGCAAAGTGCCATCTTTGAAAAATATTTTCAACTGGACAATGTGCAGAAGTGTAATTATGAGTGGATCAAAATTAAGGTATGCAAGATTAAATAAAGGAAAATAATACGGTTTCATTCCAGTGCAATCAGTTAAATATTACATGCGGTGAGTAAACATATTAGAGTTTTGAGTTTAAGCAGCCTGAAGAAGACTTTTTTTCTTCTATTTTTTAAACTATATTAAATCGTTTTTTCTCCCTTCATTAAATGTTAAATAAGAAGCAGCATATCATAAATGAAATATACTACTATTCATGCTAAAACTTAATACCAAAATGTTTTCTAAAGCTTATAGAGGTTAAGAAAATATAAAATTGCATTTTCATCTAACTGAATTTGTAACAAAAACCTTCTCTTTGAGTGACATTTTTAAATCCTTTTGAGAAAAAAAGAAAGAGTTAAACTGGTTTTTTGAGTTGAAAAGGAAGAAGCTTGGAGAAACAAAGATTTGTAACAGAAGAGAATTTTTAACAAAAATGTTCTCTTCTAGTAATATTTCTGAAAACCTTTAAAATAAATAAAGAGTAAAACTTAATTGTTTAATGAAAAGGAACAAGAACAAAGAAAAATTTGTAACAAAAATATTCCCTTATAGCTATATTTCTGGATACATTTGGAAAAAAAAAGAGTAATACGGCTGGTTTGTTAAGTGGAAAAGTAACGAGGTTTCGAAGCAAGCAGTGGAAATTTTCTTCAACACATAGATATAGCACTTGTAATCATAACATTCGTTTCAAACAATTTCATTCAGTAAAAATAGACTAAACGTTACAAAATATTTAGAAAAATCATAATAATCACCTTCAGTATAACGTCTAATAACGGCGGTTTTACCTAAAAAATGAAGAAGATAACATTGAAATATACATATTTTAAACAATATAATCAAAATGAAAAAATACATATGAAGTTGAAAATGAACTTACTTAAGTTTTTTTTTTGGGGGGGGGGGAAACCCCCAAAACTTACAAGGTTGAATTTGCTACTTCTTTCTAACTTAATTAGTTAAATTTGCTTTTAAAAGAAATTCTAGTTTAGCCGTCTTTGCTTTTCAATAAAATAAAGCAGAATGGAGGGAAAGTAAAATACTTGTAAAGAGATAATATATATAAAACAATACAACTTCGTTTAAAAAAAAAGAGCCTTTGTAAAATATTATCTCTTTGTTTTTAAGCAATAAATTAGATTTTCAGAAACATGATCACTTATGCAAGATAAATACTTCATAAGTGATCCTGCTATCTCTAATGAACTAAAAGGTTAGAAGACAATATGTATAACATTTATGTAAACATAATCAAGAACAAATTAGTTCAACATAGTAATTTTCTTTCTCTCTCTTTTTTTTTTTAAAAAAAAGAAAGGTTTTTCTTCTGAAACTACAATATTTTCAAAATGTAATGAAAGAAGAAAAAAAAATTATAAAGGAAATGACTATAAAATAAGTCTGGGCTGTCATATTTTATGCATAACATGATGAATGAGCTTTACCTGGAAAAGAAAAAAGGAACAATCGAGTCACACCCTACACTTTCTACTATACATGATGGATTTAAAATTTTCACCAGAATTCATTTATATAAAATAAATATTAATAGGTAAATATAAAAAAATATTTAGAAAGAAACAATAATTTTGAAAATAACAATTTTAATAATTTTTGGAAATTATAAAATAACATAAAAAATGATTAAAATAGAAGAAAAAAAATAAATTTCAGGGTATTTTTCTTATTACGAAAAACAGAAATTCTTTGTTATTTAATGATATTGCAATTAATCAACCTATGGGATCTTTAAAAATGTATCAATATCACAAAAACAAAATAATGTTACGATAAACATGTATATAGTGTATAAAAATGTAAAATTTCTAGAAGCCTGGACCAATTTTTAGGTTCAAAATATAAGGTTATACAATAAATAATTATCAGAATATCAATATAGGTTTTTTAACCCATACTAATGTTAAATGCTTTTTCCTTTTATATAAAATTTTCCTAAAATAGTAGGTGCCAGTTATGATGAATGGTTTGGCAACCAGGTATCCAATATTTGTTGATTTCTGAGTATACATATACTAATTTTAGAGTTATAATTGATCAGTTAAAAAAAAAATTTCTCGCTGAAAATAATTCTGAATAATCGTCCTTAACAGCATTAAATATTGGCAGCCAATATTTCAGGACTCTGTACTATACATATACTAATATTAGAGTTATAATTGATGTTAAAAAATGTTTTTGATGAAAATAATTTTGAATAATCATCCTTAACAGCATTACTGTAAAATACTGTATAGACAGCTAATATTTCTAGACTCCTGAGTATACAAAACTAATTTTAGAGTTATAATTGATCAGTTAAAAAAAATGCTTTTGCTGAAAATAATTTTGAATAATCATCCTTAACAGCATTACTGTACTATATTGTATAGGCAGTCAATATTTCTAGACTCCTGAGTATACATATACTAATTTTAGAGTTATAATTGATCAGTTATGAAAATGTATATGTCAAAAATAATTTTGAATAATCCTCTTTAACAGTATTACTGTATTATTTATGTTCTGCACCATTGTAATATAACATTGTTAACATTGCAAAAAGGCTAAAAAAGGATACAATATCATAACAATAGCACTAATGGCCATTTTAAAAATATATGTGTATTCTATCTACTTACCAACACCATAATCACCTACAACTAGTAGCTTAAACATAAGTTCTTTCATTTCATACTTAGATTCATTTAGATCTTCTGTACCTTCAGTATAAGTAGATGGAGTAGTATAATGATTATTCATGTTAGCACCTACAAATATTAGGTATACATCAATAACAAAATCATTATTTTTTATATTTATAAGACACTTAAAGAACAGTAAAAGGATTCATACAAAATTTGATTTAAAAAAGTTACAGAATTCAGTACATTCATCTTTGTAAAAATTTTTATTTCTCAAGGTTAATTGCAATTACCCTGAATTTCCCACATTTTTTTCTTATTCATTCTAAACAAAGGAAATTCGGAATATATTTAAAAAATTTATTTAATTAAAAAATAATTTTATTTTTATAATTTTATAAGGAAATCAAGTTTTATGATAGTAGTGAGCACATAATTTAAATAATTAGGTCTGCAATTTACCAATACACTGCATAGCAAAGCTTTAAAAATACCTAAACCAGGAGTGCAAAACATCTATAGGGAAAAAATGCCTCTGAAATATTTTCTAAATTAATCTGAAATAAAAAATTATCTGAAATTTCTAAAATAACCTGAAATAATCTCTGAGAGTCCTAAAATTATCTTGAATATTAAAATATGAGAGAAATCTTTTCAAGGATGCGCTTTAGAACAGCAAGTTACAAATCAAATTTAGTCTTTCTTAGAGTATCACTTCACAGTATTACATTTTAAGAGTCAACAGTATTACATTTATTTCATTTTAAGAGTTTTTTGAGTTATGACAAAGTGTTTAGAAGAGGTGTAATTTTTTTTACAAATAAAATAAAATAAAAAAATTATTATTTCAATCATAATCATTACATTAATCTATCAGTATTAGTACCAATAAAAATTTATTTAGACTGAATAATAGTAAAAATTAAATTTTGAGAAGGAAAAAATTTGAGTTTTGTCATTTTTTCTATGTCTGTAAATTTTTCATAATAATATGCTTAGTTGGAATAATTTACTATAGTTATTTTCTTAGATGGATTTATTTTACTAATTTATTTGCCACCAAGGAAAATATTTAATTATGTGTAAGTCATTCATATTAATTTAAGATAGAATTTATACACACTTTGCATTGTTAAGATTCCAGTTTTATTTATAATACTGGCACCATCACCGAATTTAATTTCCATTATTTCCATTCCGAATTTAATTCCACTTTAATAAAATGGTTCTAATCCCTGCCATAAACAATAATTTTTAGTTGTTTTCATTACAACTTTTTAATAATTTCAATTACATTGGTATTGCATTGCATTAAAAGATAATATACACATATCTTTGTAATTAATATAATATAGACTATAATTAACGATATTGAACAAAAATTATTTGTTACAATATTTTTATTTAAAAATCAACATTGTGCAAAATAATTTAAAATATAACATGATTTTTCGACGTAAGCATTCTGCTTTTTCTGTTGATTTAAAAATAAACAAACAAAAACTATATTTTCATAAGTTAGAAGTTAATGAAGATGCTATTTAAAATTTCATTAATATTCAACATAGAATGGGAAAGTTAAATAAATAGACTGTGCAAATGTCTGAAAAGTAAATTGTGTACATTTAGAGTAGTAAAAAATTCAGAGCATGACTACGTAGAACACTTACATAATAATGACAACATAATTGTTCTAAATATTTAAAAATAAACGATAAAATATTATTAATATTGAACAGCAACATTATAAATACCAATATATTATAAAAAATACAAAGAATTTCTTTATTTTAGCAGAAAATAATAATAAATTAAATATCAGAAAATAATTACTGTTGTAAAAATATTACTAATGTGTATGAAAATCTAAATCGCGTATTCTTGTTATATTTCAATATTTATTTTAAAAAACAACCAAAAAAATTTTTTTTTATGAATTGACTAGTATTTTCAACCACACAAAAATAGTAAAAAAATAGTAAACAAATCCTAAAAATCAACAAAAATGACAATCTTACGTAAACAATGGGAAGCGTAACGAGAAATGACATGCAATCACTCGACTGATTTGTTTACTCAAACCACGTGATAATCCAACTTGCAATAAATAAGATAAAACTAATTTTTCTGTTGTCGTCACTTGTCGGAATGTAATAAAAATAGATAATAATAAATTTTGATTATAGCGCCAAAAAATTTAACACAGTACTCACCTAAAAATCTTTTCAACTATTCCACAATTTGTCCCCTGTCCATTTAAAACGTAAAAAACAAGTTTTACTGTGACTCATCAACTATTGCCTCTTTTTCTCAGAAGTAGCCCCTACCCTTAAAAGTTTCTCTGTTGCATGCTGGGAAAAATCGATACACCTGTGGCAGAAGAAAATGTAGTTCACAATGTTATTTATTGGCGCGATGTTTCGTATTTTTTTTATTACCATTCCATTCCCTTTATTATTTTTTCGTTCGCTTTTAAATAAATAATTCTAAATGTATATATAACTAATTTTCTTAAATTTGGATTCATTTTTTAGACGTTTTCACTAACTTTTTAACGTTTCTTCTCCTCAATTTCTTGATTTGATATGATTTTTTATTTGTACATTCCTTTTTGAAGGTTTTAATTTTTTATTTGCATTCCTTCTTTATTAATTTTCTTTTTGTATCGCTAAGTACTAAAGAAAAAATGTTAAAAGGAAGAACACGTCAATTGGAGCGTGGTTGTACATTCTTTTTCCTTACTCCTTGATCAATATTTCATTCGTTTAAAAACAGAAATAAATCATGCGAATTAAAGTTAATTAATATTCTGGTATTTAGTATTGTTTCTTTGTTCTTCACTCATTTTTAAAAAAATTTTCCCACATGTTTTACTCACATTTCTTTGTCTTTTTAGCTACTCTGATATTTTTACCTGTCCATTTAAAAAGTAAAAAGTTTTTACGATGACTCATCACCTAGTGCCTATTTTTCTCGAAAGTAGCCCCTACCTGTATAAAAGTTTCTCTGCTGCATGCTGGGAAAAATCAATACACCTTGGCAAAGTACTAAAGAAGAAAATGTAGCGCAATGTTTTATGTATTTTTTTATTACTTTTCTCTCTGTAATTTTTTGTTCGCTCTAAAATAAATAATGTTAAGTATATTTATAATTAATTTTCTTTAATTTGGCTTCATTTTTTAGATTTTTTCCCACTTATTTTTTAATGTTTTTTTCTCTCCATTGAATTACATGATTTTCACATTCCGTGATCCTTTCTGCAGATTTTTATTTTTCTAATTGTATTCCTTCTTTATTTTTTTTTTCATTGCAAATACTGAAGAAAAAAAAATTAAAATGTAGTATATATTATTCGCGCATTGTTTTGTATTCGTTTTTTTTCTCTTTCTTACTCCCTTGATCGATTTTTTGTTCGCTTTCAAATAGAAATAAATATAGGTTACGCGGATTACAGTTATTATTAATATCCTTAAATTTAATTGAGGTATTTTTTTTCCACTTGTTTTGCTACATTTTTTGTTGTTGCATTAAATGATGCATGTTTTGTTTAGATTTTTTCTTTTCTATGTCTTTTTCTCCCTTTTTTTTCTTTCATGCTCAGGCAAAATGTAATTTGGTTCGTTATTGTTTTTTCGAACGTTGGGTTCGAAATAATTTTTTTGCTCTCTCCTATTATTAATTATAATAAATAATTTGAAATAAAGTTATAATTAGTTTTTAATCAAGTGACTCTTCTTTTTTTTCCTTTTTATTGTGCAAAAATTTTTTTTCTCCGATGCGTTTTTTTTTTTGGTCTTTTTTTTGTTTCTTTTCTTTACTTCATTATTTTTCTTATTTCATTCATTTCTTATTTCTATATTTTTTTATTCCTTTTCTATTTAAAACTTACAGTTTATAATAATAATTTACTCTCATAACGATTGACTATATTTAAAAATAAAAGTTTTGGTCGCCGACCACCGCATCTCAAATTATAGGTTTACAAACTTTTTTTTTTAAATATTTATTTATAAACTAATTTGTCTATACTTTCTCTAAAGTTCAGAGCATAACGCTATTATGAGACAATTCTCGATTTTTTAAAAATAATTTTCAGTATTGTGAGAATTATTTAAAACCGGAAATCAAATTTCAACTGGTAATCCATTAAAAATGTAAGGACACAAAAAGTAAGTTTCGAAAAAATAAAAAAAAACAATTAAAAAATGATTCTCTTGATCCCTTTGAGGGACTTCCCTTCATTATTTATAGATATGGCCATTTTCTCTAAATAATAAATAAAATTTTCTCAAATGAATTTGTTTATTTTTCTGGTATAAATATCCCCACATATCAAAATTAGAATCTATCTCACTCGGACAAAAATTCTACTTAAATTCTACTAAGAAACTACATCTAGTATACAGTGAAGAATTTGGACTAAACTGCTCTGAAAGTTCGATCAGTATTATGCATGATTAAAAACGACACCACTTCTAAGAAAAAGGTGCAAGCATGATGTTTCAATTTGTTTCCAAAGGTTTTGTCATGGAGAAACATTTTCTGAAGATAGAAGATTGTTTGCATAGAGTTAGTATAGAAGTGTTTCCATTTTTTGTTCTACCCCCATATTTTACATTTAAGAGAGAGAACTTTATGAACTGCCATTATGACCGCCCTCTACTCAGTGGCGGATCCAGCGGGTGGTCATGACCCCCCCCCCCAAANCCCCCCCCCAAATTAAAAAAAAGAATAAAAATTTTTTTTTTGTAATAGTTTACAAAAGAAATTAAATATTTTAAATTTTTTTTAAGGGGGCATATACACCTAGGTAGGTTGGAAAAATCGATTTTTTTCCATCTAATTATGTTCTTCATTGCTTCAAGAATCATAATCCAAAAGTGTCATAATCCGAGATTTTTTACCTCGCCAAACTGTTAGAGAAGAAGATCTTATAGCCGTACGTGAAACTGCCGAATTTTATAAGAATCTCTTACATGCTTCTGTAAAAGTTGTCGAAACAGAATTTCGTCTTTGGGTGGCAAAATGGCAGCGTGAAACAGAAGCAGGACTTGAAGTGCCCAACGATCTTTCCAAAATTATTAATGCCTGTGACATCGATTTGTACGATATGTTGTTGAGAATTTTAATAACTCTTCCAGTTTGTGCAGCAACAGCAGAACATTCCTTTTCAACTCTTCGACGTCTCAAAACTTGGCTTAGAGCAACTCAAAATCAAGAACGATTAAATGGACTCGCATTATTAAACATTCATCGAAAAATTTATTTGGAAGTTGAAAAAATCTTTGACAGATTTGCCAAAGTTTCTAAAAAGCGCATTGCATTTATTATTTAAAGATTTTGAATACTTGAATTATTTATGTATTGTTCTATTGTTCAGTATAAAAAAAAATAAATGAAAAGAATAGCATGAAAAACCCCAGTTTTTTTTCAAAAAAAAAAAAATTAAACAAATTTAAAAAAAATTAATTTAATTGGGGAGGGGGGAATCTGAGTCTGTGACCCCCCAGGAAAAATTTCTGGATCCGCCCCTGCCTCTTCTGTAGATGATATTTATTTACCCATTTCAATAATTTCACTGCTTGCTATAAGCACTATGGTCTCTGCAGGCCTGTCAACTACTACGCTTTTTGAAAAATATATTATAGAGTGGTATAGATTTAAAAGCCAAAGTTTTCAGAAAATTTAGTAATTTTGCCAACATTTTAAACGTCTTATAAGCTGGAACAAAGTGGCGTTGCATATGAGCTTTTGAATCGTTTATATGAAGTGGTGTGGAAAACAAACTGAAATGAATTAAAAATAATCTAAATCTATAGAATAGGCCTAAAAACTAATAGCTTTATTTTTATATTAAAATATGATTCACTACAAAATGAGGAAAATTGTGATCGCCGCAAGGCGATCACAGGTTACCCATTGGCAGAATGGTTGTTGTCTAATTTTTTTTTTGGAAAAGAAACTTTATTGTGGTTTTATTTTGGACATCTTTAACTGTTGATCCTGAACTGCTAGGTACACAATTTCGCAGACGTATTTAAATGTAGCTCAGGCGCATTTTGTGTAAATTCTTTTGATGATGACTGCCATATAATTTTCAAACTTATCGGAAAGCCAAATGAAAACAATAATCTTTTATTATAAGACGAAATCCTCCAACTCATTTAGTAAACATGAATGCAATGAACCATCAATCCTCTATAATCATAAAATATTGATATCTTGAGCCACAACACAGTGCAACCATAGTAATCCAACTTGTATTGAGAAATCAATTTCAAGAAGCGCGATAATATGGATAACGCCTAATTAAGGTTACCGCAAACTTGTATTGTAATATCTTTTAAGTTGCATCAAAATTTTTCAAAGTGTCGAGTTGAGCCGTTATGGCTCTGGGATAGAGCGTTTACCATCGAATTAAATGAATTGGGTTCGAATCCCACTGATGGCTCATCGAATCGAATTTCGTACCCGGCTCGCACCGACCACAGTGCTGACGTAAAAATATCCTCAATGGTGGACGGATCATGGGTTAGAGTTCCTTTGACATCGGGCTAACCTTGCGAGGTTTTCATTGTTTTTCTCCCCTTGTAACGCAAATGCTGGTTAGTTCCATTAAAAAGTTCTACATTAAGGCAGAATTTCTTCCAGTACTTGATTCAGGATTTCCTTTGTCTTCTGGATCGGGTTCAAAATTACAAGGCTACAGAGTTGAACATTAGTAGTCGTAAACCGAAAATTGGACCGACTGTACAACGACGGTTATAAAATTAAAGTTTAGAGTACTTATACCATGTGCACAGTTAAGTAACTTTGATCGGTTTAATATATTTTAATAAGAGGGTATCTAAATCGCTAAAATTAAAAAAATTGGCTTAACAATGCACTTTTCTGCTAAGATTATTGTTTTACTAGGGTTTAATTCTGCAGTTATTTAGAAAACAAAAATTTTGTAACTATTAATAAATTGCTAATTCATTTAATTAAATTATTTTTACTTTCTGTGTGAAACAATGTAAAAAATATCGTACAGCAGAACTTAGTATAGTTCGAAACCTCAATAAAACAGAGCAGCGGTGGCTCAGGGGATATTTAATTATGGAAAACGTTTCCAGCTGTGGCTGGTTGATACCAACACACAGTGCTGAAATAAAATATTCTCAGTGGTAGACGATTCATGAGTTAGTATCACATTGC